TTGTCGGCAGCTTGACGCAAGGCGCCTTTCCCTGGCCCCACCAAAAGATGAGAGGCCACTCTCCTTCCATCAGTTTTCTGCCTCACCCACTGCTTCCACCAGCAATCTGAACATGCAGCAACAGGAGCGAGCGAACCCTGGGCAACACTACTCACCCACACCACACACTCCCTCTAAAGTCAAACCTAAGCCAACCCCTCGTACTGGGGAGGTGGCCACAGTGGCCTCTGTCAGAGCTGTTTCCAGCAGCACTGAGGGAAATGCTTCCCTTGGGCAAGGCCAGTGCGATGTCCTACTTACCAAGTGCCAGGGTAAGTTGCCAGAAGGCAGCTGTGGGGCTATGGAGGAGCCCATGAGAGGAAGCAGCTCCAACAGCACTCCTGGGTCTCCAGACCCCCAGGGGGATCAGCAGACGGTTTGGTATGAGTATGGCTGTGTGTAACCAATGGATGCAGCTAATAGTGTTTGTCATTGATACCGGGTAGCATTTGTCTTGACACTGTGCCAGGTCTTAAAAGGCACTACCTGCATGCTGTTCTGAATGTTCTCTGGGTACTGTTTTCTAGTTGGACAAAGTATGATTAAGAGAAACAAGGAGCAAAACCCCAGCCCTTTTTTTTGACACTGTTGTGCCTGAAACAAATTAGAAGCCTGACCTAATCCCACAGCAAGCTTGGAACCTGATTCTTACAGGTGCTGAGCATTCCTCACTCCAGGAGAAGCTTAGCAGGGTCCTCTGTCATTGTTGCAACTAGCAACCCTTCTACCTGCATTAAAGAAGAGTTTCACAGATGATTTGTTTGTGCTGAAACCAGCTCTGCTATTGATAAATAACTTAAACCATAGTGAAAAGGTCATATAAAAGCCAAACTTTTCCCCAGAAGACATAACCAGACACTTGGCTTAAGTAGCTTAATAGGAAAGCTGAAGATCAAAAGTGTGTGGCGTTAGCCATGGATCTGTTAAAATCAGTTCTTCTTGCCACAGCCACATTGGTGATGCATAGAATTCAAGGGTCATCTCTTAACCTTCCCCACTGGGACTGTCAAAAGACAGAGAGAAGGGTCAATGTTATTACCCCACTGCCTTCCCTACATAGCTGCAGCTCAGTGAGTTTTTGACTCTGAAAGCCAAGTGGTGCTGCCTTTTGAAACTTGTTTTATCTTTTATACACACACTGGAACTAATGCAGCCTTTTCAGGGGAGATGTCATTTCAATTGTAAAGGTGGCATCTCATGTACAAAAGTGACTTGTAAGTATGTATATAAGGAGCTCAAGTATTGTATAGGAATGCTGTGTAAATTGTATTATTACATCTGTGTGCATGACAGCCCTAAGTGATAGTGGGATTCAGTCTCTTAGAAATCCCTGCTGTGTCTCCCAAGAACTTTGCTCAGTATAGAAAGCAAAATAATTTTGTATACATGTGAAAGAAATATACTTTAAAAAATCTATTTATGTGCAGAGAACTTCCTTGTACGTTTCTGTCCAGGGTGTCATCAGTTGCTTATGTATATATGATCAGATGCATATCTTTAATTCTATTTCATGTTTGTAAAGCTCTTTTTCTTGGAATAGACTAAATCCTCCCTCCTCTTCTCCCCAGTAATATTTGTTTTGCTGGTTCTGATTTAATCTAGTGAAAGCTAAAACTGATTCAGCTAAGGATGTTTTTGTTATCTAGTATGTAGTAATCCCATTCTGGAAACTACAAAATTGTTTATAATAAAGATTGAAATAAAGCAGATTGTTGTACTGTTTTTTTTCTTGGAAAAATATATGAGATTCATGATGTTGGATGGAGAACTGTTTGCAATAGGTTTGTGTAAGCCTCAGCATTGATTCATATCTCTGTGCAGCAGAGTTGCATTTGTTTTTACAATGTTGCCACAGAAGACATATCAGAAATCTTTGTTTGACCGAAGCCTTCTTATTGAAGACTTTAGTCAGACTAATCAGGCAAATTAAGTGGCTGTAGAATTGGACTATCAGATTTTTAAGCTTGTGTGACCACTTCAGATAGTGCTAGGCATGCTTCTATCTTCACCAAGTTTGCGTTTGTGCAAACTGCTTCATGCTTAACTCTCAAAAAGCCTTACAGAAGTAGGAAATCAGTCATCTTTGAACATGAAAGAGAATGACAAAAGGAACTTTCTGCCTTTTCTGCTATATAAATGCAGACCACAATTTAGCAACAGCGTTAAAATGATGTGTTATGCAGCAGTTTTTCAAACTACTGAGTGTCCTTGGTCAACTGAAATTCCTTTTCCAGAAATTAGCTCTCAACTTTCATACTCAGCCAGATCACTGAAGGCAAAAGACTGGTGTTTCTTCCTGGTTTCGGTTCCATTTTGGAGGCATGCACTGGACTGCCTGGCAGGTTGGACTGCTGAAGAATTGACCTGTGAGTTGCCAGTTATTAGTAAAAGCAATTTGCTATAAGTACTTATGTAATCACTTAAACCTTAATTGTTACTTTCTGAATTATTTACAGTTACTTACTTCCTCAGTTCCAGTGAGTTTGAATAAAAATACATATTTTTGAATAGAAATAAAAATACTTATGTAGTACATTTCAAGTATGGGATAAGTTTAAGTACAGACACTGTAACAGAACAACCGATCTTCAACATCACAGCCTCCTTTGGCTTCTTGTTGAAGCACATGGCTCTGTGGTGTTCAGGCCTTCCTGAGTACATGAAGAGAAGTTGTATTACAGGAGACAGTCCTGCTGTGGCATGTGCATACGTTTTGCATTCCACTCAAGTAATTCACTGTTTTTAACTATTCTTTGATAGACTCAGTGGCTCCCAGGTCAGAGTGCTGCCATCGCACACCATCAGGTAAGAAAATCCAACAGGAGGGAGGGAGAGCAAGGCCTGCCTGTGTTTGAGGTACTACTGCTCTTTGCTTTCTTGGTGGGATAAATGGGTGTTACTATGTCAAAGCTAATGTGGGAGAAAAGTTGGTTGTGTTAGAGCATGATCAGCAGATCCTCCTGTTGCTGGATGGAGGAGCAGGCCGGGTGGTGTGAGGTGGCGGGAGGTGCCAGGACAGGCGTCTGTGGGAGGGGCAGAGCTGCCAGAGCCACCTCAGGCTTCTTCTTTCCTTCAAGAAGAAAACGGGGAACAGTCATGAAGTAGTGACAATGTGGTGTGCTGAGCCTCAGGGAACTGGGACTCCAGAGCCCCAGACTGAGCACACGAGGTGTCCCAGCCCCACAGGGCCGAGTGCTGGAGGAGGCTCTGATACTTCCTGACCGGCTGGGCCAGGCCTGCTTGCTGCAGTGTGCTGCTAAATAATGCTGTGAATGGTTCTGGGTGCTACCATTCAAATAATGTTGTCCGGTAGTGGAGTATCTCAGTTCATATATGTGGCTTGTGGATCCTGTAGATCATGTTTTCTATTAATGGATACATTTTTGGAGGGGATCCCACCCAGATAGGCAGTTGATAGCAGATAGGTTTCTGAGAAGGCTGTGCTGTTGGCAATAGCCCCTTCTCTGCAGTGCGTTCAAATTGAAATCAGAAAATTTGTTTAATGTGAGGAAACAAAAATTGCACACTGCACATGACAACGGTATTTGCTTGAAGTACAAGAAACAGCTGCTGTGCAAAGTACTTGTGGGGAATCACATGTTCTGCAGTGATGGAGTATCTCCTTATCAAGAAATCTGAAGCTGGATCTTTTACAGTGCAACCTTGTCATGGAAACCTTCTTCCTATCAGATGTTCTTCAGCTGTTCCACAAAATTGGGATCTAATGGTGAAGGGAACAGCTTCTCTGATTTCATTTAATTGGGAAGGCGTCCCTGCCCACAGCAGAGGGATTGGAATTATATGGTCCCTTCCACCCCAAACCATTCTGTGATTCTGTGGATGTGAAATTACCAGAAAAGAAATAATGGAATCTATCCGTGAAAATGGCTAAAGAGTACTTTATTTAGAAAAATGACATACCACTGTAAACCATGAGGTTAGAAATCATTTCTGATCATCCAGATGTTTGGGGGGCATATTAAAAGTTCAGCCAAAGGTGAATGGAAGAAATGTTGCAGAAATTGTTGGTTCCTGTGAAATAACCTATAACCTGGATGCTAATCCCTTGTCCTCGTCACATCCATTGAACAAAAACCTTGTGGTGTAAAAGCCTGAACACAGCTGCAATGAAAGCATTTGAATTGTGGTTTTGACTTTTTAGATGGGAAAAAAAAAAAAAAGAATCAGTGGCAGTAAGCTTCATGGAAAAAAATTGCCTCTCTTCCCATCAGGGTTGTGAAATATCAGGTCCTGACAGCACTGGAGATGCTCAAGGCAAGGTGGAAAACTTGGGAACATTATGTTGCTACGTCACCAATGCCAGGCAGCATTAACCTGGCCTAACAATGTAGTGTAATTAATTTCTCATTATGAAGGGTTGCTACACTGGAGGAATAGGCTCTGCTATGAGGTCCATCTTTAACCCTGGTATTAGGGGCTGTCACGAGAACTAAGAGGGAATGGCATCAGATGGAAAATGGTGAGAAAAAGTATTGTGATTTAAGAAAGTGTTGACAGACAGGAGTTTAAGGTGATTGGGAGAAGTTCTGGAAAAGTAAATGATCTTTTTCCAGTCAAAAGGGTTTTTCCAAATGTAAAGGGAACAGTAGACAGCAGAGAGCTGCTATTTAAAAGGTTGTTGAATGGGAGAGCCTTTAAAAGGCTAATTTGGGCCCTAAAGACAGTGAACCATGAGCTGATGAAGTGTGACATAAAAAGCTGAGGTTAGTGCAGATTTGGAAGATGGTGAAGAATCCTGTTAAGGAGTAACATGGCTAAGTGGGGAATGGTGGCAGGGTATCTGTGCTTACCCCTCCTCAGTCAGTGGAAGGAACAGTTTATTGACAGTTTATCAAGTTTATCTATACCTCCTCATCTCATCTTCTTTCCTTTTCTCTCTCTTTTTTTTTTTTTTTTTTCTTTTTGGTTGGGGGCAGGGAGGGAATAGATTTCTGCTGAGAACAGGAGAATGAAAACGTGGTTATTCCACAGAAGCTAGGAACTTAAAACATGTCCAAAACAAAATACCAAATGCTATGGAAACTAATGTCAACTCACTGTATTATTCCCAGATGCTGTTCTGATGATCAGCTCTAGTTAAAATACTTGCGTATTTTTATTGAAAGATTAGAAGTGAGGATTATGTGGCTCTGATGCTGAGGTTATGCCAAAGTATGTAGTGTGCGTGTTCTTACATACCAGAATGAGAAAGAGTAAGCATTGGCATTAGCCTGTGAAAAGTATGTATTGCACAAAGGGATATCCTGTGGTAATCTGAAAGAAAAAGGAAAGTAAAGCTATTAGTGGAACTCATTGCTGCAGGCTATTGTGGAATCAAATAGATCAGTCTAATATCATGATGCTTTAATGCTTTTGATTTATGGTATGAAATCATTTATGAGAGAACTAAACATCCCCTGCTTAAAAAAAAAATAATAATAAAAAAAATAAAAATAACAACAAAAAACACTAGGTGACTTCTAAGAGGCTCCCCTTATTCTGCAACATCAAGCATTGGCTATCTTCAGAGCCAGGATGGAGCTGGGCTACCTCACTGGGAACAGTGGGCACCTCTCCCTGTGAAAATCCCTGAAATTTGCAAATTGAGGATCACCTTACCCACTTTGTTCAGTAGTTGGTATTCTCTAGAAGTGTAAGACAGATTAGTGGCAAGAAAAGCATATTGTGTGCTTGGGAACACGCTGCTAAGGAAGAGCATGAGAGTTGAAGAAGGATATTCCAGATGGGGAAGCACGGCTCCCTGAAGGACTGCTGAGGAGTCTCGAGAGACTTGCATTGAAGGGATGAGGGAGTTTTCCATAAGAAATAGGAAAGTTTGTCTGGGAAGACCGAAGTGAGCATTTTGTAGTGCTTCTAGCCTGATTGTTTTACCATTCTACAGAGAGTTTTAAAGGTTATGGGATGTGAAAGGCTATGTTTCCTTGATGTTTTAAATATCTCCAGCCAAAATTATCTCCTCCTTAAACCCATGAAAAATGCTTCCTTGCAAATTTAGAAGAGGCTTTTTTTTATTATTTTTATTTTTAATTCTAGTTATCCAAAGCCTGAAATTTGCTTGTGTGTGCATTGAGAGCCCATAACATACCTGATCCATAGATGCATGTGTTTCAGAGCCACTGGTTGCCCAGGGACAGACATTCAGCTGCAGCACCTCAACCTCCTACAGAGATAGAAAACTCCCTATCAGTTTGAGAGTGCTTCTGCAGGACCCTTCTGGCTATCTGTGATTGAAAGTAGAAGAAATGCTGAGAATCCGGGAAATTACTGTGAAGGCAAAAACTTGGGAACTGTTTGTTTTTTGTTTTTTTTTTTATAACTGAAATTTTATCTGAAGAAGGATTGCTTGCTCAAAGCAGTGCAAAAGGCAGGTGGAGAAATAGGCAGGCAAAAGCCACGTGGGATAGACCATGTGTTGGCTTAGTTGGCATTTAACTAAAATTAAGATAAGGTTGGTAACCTTCAATTTCCTCGGTTGCTTGAATCCATTCATAGCCTTTTTGTCCATAAGTAAATGAAGCAAGAGGGCAGGATGCTTTAGAGATGTGTATTATCAGCATTGTTTATGGGGAAGAGCTGTACAGCTTAGGTGCTCCATTTCCATTATCCCTTCCAGCTCTCTAGTGAAGTTGTCGTTCCTCTGTGCAGACTGGTTTTAGGTAATTCTGGGCAAAGAGCATTAAATCAGTATCTGATGAAGGCACTAATGTGTACACCGCAGGTTGCAGCCTCGGTGCCTTCATTGACAAGGATCTCTGCAGTTCCTACTTTTTCTTATGTTTCCATGTATATTTACTTGCACCTTGGAGAGCAGGGGCTTAAAGGAAGTGGGAAATGTCTGTCTGATGGGTAACAGTATATTTTTAATGATTTTGCATGCACTTAAAACCACTTCTGCCAACAACAACCACATGAGTGAGTGTTAGCAGGAAACTCTTTGCATGAAATGTGCAAACAAAGGAGCCCTCTTGCTAGATCCTGTCCTGCAGCTCAGATAGTGCAACCAGCTACTGCAAGCTGGCCAAGCCCATCTTATCTACAACAACTTTCCTTCCTTCATGGCTTTTCTTCTCCAACACTAGAGACCTTTCTGTTCTTTAACCCAGCGTTATCTTTAACTATTTCCTACCCCTTAATTCACTTTTTGTAACCTGTCTTCTTACAGGTCTAGCTCCAGCTTTTCTCTTTCATTGCTAAAGGCGTTAGTCATCTATCAGCCAGCTTTCACCTTTTTGCCACCTTTTCTTGCTGTTGTCTTTCTGTATTTCTCCATCCTTGTCAGACTTTCTTAGGCAGTCACATTCTCAAGACTGGAAGGATTTATTCCTGATCCTACCTCAGTTTCAGTTCTCAGTGCTTTCTGCTGCCTTCTTAGCTATTTCTCTGTCAATTGTCTCAAACATTGCCCACTCTGTACTGCTTCATACTTTTTTTTTTTGCCCAAATACTCCAGTGACATCAATTCAAGGGGCCTTTCTTCCCTCACATGTGCTTCCCTCTAGCATGCACTGCACTCACAGCCTTCTCACCGTATCTGTTCCCAACATCCTCCAGTAGCTCACTTTTATTGCTCTTTTGTCCTTTGTTTGTGACAATAGCCAAGTCTTGAGGCAGGAAATACACTATGTGCTGTAAACCATGGTGGGTATTTGTAGTTCAGAAGATGCATGTTTGCATAAAGTTTGTGGCCAAGTTCTTTCTACAACTTGTTTTCAGATTTCAAAATTTGCTTATTCTTAGTTACTGAGACATCTTTCAAAAGTTTCTTCATCAAGATGAATATAAGATTCTGTCTGTAGCAGGATTTCAATGTAAAATCTTATAACAGTTTTTGAGCTGGTCTGGTAGACATTCTAGGGTCAGCTGTTGTCTTTGATGGTTAAAATTCTATGAGAATTTGTTCTCTCTTTAAAAAAAAAACACTAATGGGATGATAAATGCATTTAAGAAGGTCCGTATCACTTTTTGCCTATTGAGGCAATACTCTTTCTATTTAGTCTTAAGTATTTTTAATTATATGATTTTCCACATAATTTTCATTGTTTTAGAATTTCCTTCCTTGCTTATTTTGGCTTCTTTAATTGAAAAAAAAAGCTTTGAATTCCTGAAGCTCAGTCCTATTATCCACACGCAGCTCCCATGAACAAGGAGTCTTTTCCTTGTTTATTTAACCAGCCATATCAATGGGAACAGAGCCCCATTTGGAAGATCCTGAATTCCCTTCAGTCTCCCACCCTGTCCTATACAAGGAGCCCCTGTGAACACAGTGCTTGTTCTCTTGTTATATAATCTGGCAAGTAAATTGTAGTGGATACTAACAGGACTTTATTTGGATCAAATTTCACCCACTTAGTTTTGTAACCAAAATCAAGAGAAATGTTGCTCACTGTGTTTAGCAGATTTAACCTGTTAGAGACTGGAAGAAGACAGAATACTCTCAAGCAAATTTAAAACTGAATATGAGATGAAAAGCAAAAAAATAAGCTAATTAGTGACCCTGGTCTGTTGTTTTTAGTGTTATCTCTTTGTACCAATGTTTTTTCAGACAGGAAAAGCCAGTATCTGGAGTACTGTGGGCTTTCATACTTTGTCTACTGTAGTTGCTGAAGACCAGGGACTTTTTCTGCCCTATGAAGTATTGGTTCAAGAACATTCAGGCCCTGTATTCCCCACAGCATTGAGGCACAGTTCTGCTCAAGCTTCCTGAACCTCATACAGTTGGCCTCAGCACATCAGTCCAGCCTATCCAGATCCCTCTGCAGAGCAGACCAACACTGCTGCCCAACTTGGTGTCGTCTGCAGACTTACTGAGGGTGTTCTTGATTCCCTTGTCTAGATCATTGATAGAGAGAGAGATTAAAGAGAACTGGGCCCGGTACTGAGCCCTGGGGTACAGCACTTGTGATTGGCCTCCCACTGGATTTAACTCCTTTCACAACAACCCTTTGGGCCTGGCCACCCAGCCATTTTTTCACCCAACAAATCTTATGCCCATCCAAGTCATGAGCAGCCAGCTTCTTCAGGAGAACAGTGTGGGAAACAGCATCAAAAACTTTACTAAAGTTTAGGCTGACCACATCCACTGCCTTTCCTTCATCCACTCAGCAGGTCACCTTGTCATAGAAGGAGTTAAGCTTCACCAAGCAGGACGTGCTGTTCATGAATTCATGCTGGGATCTACCCTGGGCCTGATCACTTGGTTGCCTAGTATGTGCTGTGTGATGGTCCTCAAGATGATATGCTTGATCTTGATGGTCTTGATCTGATGATCAAGATGACCTTTCCCTGTCACTGAAGTCAGACTGACAGGCCTATAATCTTCCAGGTCCTCCTTCTGGCCCTGCTTGTAGATGGGTGTCCCAACTGGAACCTCCCTGGATAGCCAGGACTGCTGATAAATACCAGAAAGTGGCTTGGTGAGCACTTCTGCCCAGCTCCCTCAGTACCCTTGTGTGGACCCCATCTGGCCCCATAGATTTGTGTACGTCTAAATTAGCAGGTCACTAACCTTTTCCTCTTGGATTATGAGGGCTTCATTCTGCTCCCTGTCGCTATCTACCAGGGGACTGGGTACCTGAAGAACAACTGGTCTTGCAGCTAAAGACTGAGGCAAAGAAGGCAGAAAGTACCTCAGCCTCTTTCTCATTCTTCATCACCCTGTCTCCCCTCATATTCAATAAAGGATAGCAATTCTCCTCAATCCTCTTTTTGTTGTTAATGTATTTATAGATGTATTACATAGAAATACATAATAATGTATTTATTGTCTTTAATGGCAGTAGCCAGATTAAGCTCTATCTGGGCTTTGGCCCTTCTACTTTTCTCTCTTCATAGGCTTGTGACATCTTCATAGTCCTCTTGAGTGGCCTGCTCCTTCTTCCAAAGGTCATAAACCCTCTTATTCTTGAGTTTCATCCTAGTTCTCTGTTCAGCCAAGCTGTTTCCTTTCCCACTGGCTTATATTTTGACACGTGGGGCAGCCCACTCCTGCGCCTTCAAGATTTCCTTCTTGAAGAATGCCCAGCCTTCCTGGACTCCCTTGTTCTTCAGGACTGCCTCCCAAGGGACTCCACCAACCCGTCTCCTACACAGGCTGAAGTCTGCCCTCCAGAAGTCCAGGGCAGGCAGTTCTGCTAACCCCACTCCTTACTTTTACAAGAATCAAAAACTATTATTTCATGATCGCTGAGCCCAAGATGGCCTCCAGCCTCCACGTCACCCATGAGTCCTTCTCTGTTCTGAAGCAGGTCCAGCAGGGCACTGTCCCTTGTTGGCTCTCTCACCAGCTGTGTCAGGAATTTATCTTCCACACACTCCAGAAACCTCAGACTGTTTCCTCTCTGCTATGTTGTATTTCCAGCAGACATCTGGCAAGATTGAAGTCCGCTACAAGAACAAGGGCTAGCAATCAGTGAGACTTCTCCCAGCTGCTTACAGAATATTTCGTCTGCCCACAGACTTCCAAAAGGAAGCTAGAGGATCCCTTGAAGCTGGATGTTGAGAGGGAGGAGATCAGATCCTACCTGACAGACAGCCTCTGGCACAGAGGCAAGGGAGAGATCTGAGGCCCCTTTAGGAGCTAGAAAGGATAAGCTCCTAAATGATGGAGCTTACTTGGTGTTTGTGAGATGTGTGCTGGGTTATGGCATTTTCCACTGGGAACTCTTGGAGCTGAGATCACCACATGGGGCATGTTCTGGGGATAGATGGTTGCATCTTCCCCGAGCAGCTGGAGTGCACGCCAGGGGGCTCTGCATCTGCCCTGCAGGAATTTTCAAAGTGAAAACTGAGACCTGTAGGAAAAGTTAAAAATAACGTGTGATGCAGTAAAGAATGGGGCAAGAAAAGAAACAAAGAAAATAGGAGGACAGGTAAAGTGAAACGTGTGGGCTGCAGCTAAATATGCAGTGTTGTTCCCGCTTGCGCAGGCGGCTGACGCGCAGCTCTGCGTTGTGTAGGCACCCCCAGCAGCTCAGAGCTGGCCTGCAAGGGCTCCAGGGACAGTACCAGGACAGAAAGAAGAGCGGTAGCAAGTCCTTATTTTTCAGCTACACAAAACGGATTGGCGCTGTGAGAGGGAGATGAATTTAGCAAAATGGTGCCTGTGGATTAGCATTCAGAGAGAGAGGGGGAGAGGCCTCCTCTATTTTCCTTGCTATTGTCACAGAAATGGGTGCTTGAGAGGATTTAAATCAAACTTGCAGGGGAATGTTGGCCCTTGAAGGCGAAGCACAGGTGAGGTAACTGGGATAAAATGGAGCCAGCTCTGTCAGAAGGGGCCCCCACCTCACACACTCAGAGAAGGAAGCTGATGGCTGGAAATAAGACCAGGGTGAGAAGAGGTCTGGAAAACCTGGCCTGTGAAGAATGGGGTTGTTTAGTCTATGAAAGAAAAGTCTAAGAGCATGAGTAATCCTTAGACATCTAAATAATTAATATAGAGAGAGGTAGCAATGGCCTGTGTTTTGAGTCCATTCACAGAAGAACACAAATAAATGCATGAGAAACATGGATGATTAAGATTTTGAAATCAGTGCAAGCCTTTTAAGAATAAGCCCAGATGGGTGACAGAGACATTTCCAGATGAGAGGCAGAGTGTTCCTCAGTGGTAATTTAAGAGAACAAGCTAAAGAGAAGCTAAAATAGACCAGTTCTGTTGGAAGGGACCTACAGAGACCATCTGGCCCAGCTGCCTGACCGCTTCAGGGCTAACCAAAGCTAAAGCAGATGAGGGCCTTGTCCAAATGCCTCTGGCACTGGGGCACCAACCACCTCTCTAGGAAGCCTGCTCCAGCAGTTTGGCCACCCTCTGGGTAAGGAAATCCCACTGCCCTGTCCCAGGTGCGGCACCCGGTGTTTGGCTTTGTGGAGCTTCGTGCTGCTGGTGGTTGCGCAGAGCTCCAACATCTCCAGGCCCCTCTGCAAGGCCTTTGGTGACGGTCCACGTTTTCCCCTGTTCATACCTCAGAGATAGGAAGTGGTCTCACTCACCTTCTCAACGTGTTCTTTGTGGTACCTCTGACATTTATTGTGCATTGTAGCTCTATTATTTTTGAAGCCTGCTGCCTCTGGTTTTAACACATATGCAAGCCAAGAGTTACTCAATTCAGCGGACTTATTTAATCATCAGAAATGTTAAAATTATTCAACCAAAGCAAGCAAAAAGCAAAAATTGCCACTTGCACCAAATAATAGCAATTTGTCAGCTTTAATAGCTGCTGTATAATTTATAAAGATAAAAGGCTACAGTCATTTCTTTTCATTTTTAGGAGTTTTAAATAGATCCCAAAGTGCAATCGCTGTGTGTGTGTACTGGAGCCTGTGTTCTGCCTCCCAGGAAGTAACAGATGACCAGAGACACCAAATCCCTTTACTTCACTGATCTGTCTTACACCATCTACATGTTGAGAAAATCAAAACAGAATGGCTGGATGGAAGAAAAGCAAACCAAGATTTTTCTGGATTTTATTTTGCTCTAATTTTTGGAAAAGGAGGTTTGCTGCTCCACTTGCAAAGCCTGATTACCAGGTGAGCGGACCAAGTATTGCCTTTTAAGCACACTGTAATGGACATGTATGGTGTCTGATGGCCAAGGCTCTGCTGTCTGGATGTTCTGAGCACCTGTATGTATCAAACATCCATCTAACACGTCTTTGAGCACGTTTGCACTTCTGTGTGACTGAGAACTGCCACCCAGGTGGGAACTAGAAAAGAGGTGCTGCCGACAGTGACTTCCACTGCTTTACTGAAGAGTAGCACACCTATTGCTAAGGAAGTAACTGCACTTCATTTTCCTAATATCATCCGTTATAAATTCTTTGAGACTAATAAAAGAGCTGTGATATCTAAGGGTATGTAAGTGTGCATTACAAGGCACTGAAACAAAAGTTTTACTTGGCTTCCTTAAAGTTCCCAATCCATGTGATTTTCTTATGACTAAATGCAGGCTGGGGAGAGCTCTGAGAGAGCTGATAAATTTGATACTAAGCCTTCACGTTCTTTAACACTGCACAGGTGATCAGTCTCTGGCCATGCTCCCAGGGGCCTGTGCCTGGCCCGTTCAGCCCGGTAAGCTGTCTGCATCTCTGCCATCCTCCAAGCTGCAGAGCGAGCCTGCAGAGGACTGTTCAGTGCTTTTTGCAGCCTTTTCAGGTCACGTTCAAGAACTTTGCATTTTTTCTGCTGCATCCCTCCTCAAAAACTCACAGAGGCCCCTTAACCCTGCAGATAATTTTAGCTCTCTGCTCTGGCAGAGGCCCTGGCACAGGAAGGTTTCTGCCATCTGGTAGCCTGTCATACCTGAAGGGCCCTTTGCCTGTGTTTGGAACGAGGAGTTATTTTTGATGCTGGTTCTGACGTTAGCCATGGGTACTCCTGGAGGATTTCCAAGTTTTGTAATTGCCATTGTATCCTTGTTTTTTCCTCTTCTTATTTTTTAAAGTTTCCCTGCTTATGTTCTTCTGTGCTTTCCACCAGGATAGAAATAGAGAACCCATTTTCTTGTTTTGGACTACCCAACACAAGACTTCTGTTTCCTGTCTTCTGGTCCCTGGCCACCCTTGGGGCGCTGTCACCCCCATGCAGCGAGCAGACAGAACTCCTCAGGCGCTGTCCTGAGCACACAGAGTCACTGGTGTCCTTACAGCAGCACAGGAGAGCACCACATCAGGTGAGTTATGCATCAGTTCATGGCCTGAACAAGGAAAAAAGTTTTTGTTTCCAGCTTCAGTGATGTAATTCATATCTGTTTCTGTAGGAGCAGTGCCTTTCAGTGTGAGTGATGGACAGGTTAATGCACAGTCTGAGGGGCAGCTTTCCCCAGTGTGGGAATAAGAGCAGCGGTACGAGTCAGCAGCATGCCAGCTTCTGCATCTGCTGCAGTCTTCCTGAATGACCTTGGACAAACTGTATAGTTTGTTTATGCCTCAGTCTCTCTTGCTGTGCAACAGGAAGGAAAAAGCACCCTCCCAGACCTTGCTCTTGCACATGCAGGGCAGCAGCTCCCTTGTGCAGAGTTCAGCCTGGGCTGTGCTTGGCCTGTAACGAAGGTCTGATCTCAGTGAGAACTAGGAACAGCTTACTGTAAATAACACCAATAACAGCGCTGATGCTCTGTATACTTTGTAACGCTCTGTGTACTCTGTGAGAGTACACAGCCTGCACAAGGCAGCATCTGTGTGTGCTCAGATAAGTTGCACGCAGCAGCCGTTTTGCACCAGCTGCCGTGGTTGCAGCGCGGTGTCTGCCGGTTGTGCCAGCGGTGGTAGGCAGGGGTGTGAGCAGCTCCGTGTGCGTTCCCATCTCTGTGTTCAGTGTCTGCTTCTGGCACTGTCATCTCTTTCATTTATGAATGAGTGGGTGCGGGAGGAGAGGGCTGGGCTGGCTGACTCGACTCCTTTGCAGTTGTACTATAAAGAGCACAGGAGCTGGAACACAATCTCCTCCTCCTTCCCTGCACTGTTTCACCGGCAGCCTCGCTCACAGCTGGAGGAAGACAGCCTCGCCAGCAGCCTGAGCAGAAGCTGGGAGAAGGGAAGTCTTCTGCTCTTTGCTCTGCAGGAAAACCATCTTTGTATAAACTGCTCACAGGTGAGTGTCATTTTTTACCTATTCATTCTTAAAAGCAAACAATTTTTCCATCATTGCTTATATAATGTTACGACTCCTGGAAAGGTGGCAGAACAGTTTTTTGGCTAGGTTGTTAAAAGTGAAGCAAAGCAAAACAAAGGAGGGATTCCAAGGACTCAACCAAAGCAATGTGTCCAAAAATTCACAACTTCAAAATAAATTTCCTTGGCAAGTTCCCACTAGTGGAAAACTTCAAATAGAAGCTCTTCCAAAAAAAACTTTCTGGAGTTCCAATTAGGTGCAAGGAGAGCCAAATGTTGAAGTTGTATTGATGAGAGGGAATTGTTAAGATAAACTAAGAATCTGTCTCGTGTTTGCAGCAGGGAACAAGAGCAATAGCCAGTAGATAAATTTCAGTAGTCATTTTCAGAGCAGTTAGTAGGAGTTGACTAGATACAAATTTTTCAAAATAACTAATAAGGTATTTAAATATTTCACTTCCCCTGAAGACATAACCAAAAGTTAGGCATACCTGCAGAAAACTGCTAAACCTTGTAGGTGCTCTGTGTACAGCCATATAGATTTGTCTTTGTCTCTCAAATGTTTGCCATTAATATATTTTCCAAACGATAAGACACTTTTCCTGCTGCTGTTCAGAACCTGACTAGAGAAACTTTAAATGTGAAGGTTTGTTTAGTGAAACTAAATCCATTCTATCAGAAATTAATCTGCCTTTTTTTTTTAATAGGATTAAAAACATTCATTATGTAGGTTGCCTGTGTTTCTTGTGTGTTTTCCTGGTTCTTGGCAGTCTTTGAAAAGCAAGCAAGAAAGTAAATCACTGAGAGATCCACTTCCAAGTGTGCTGTGGGTTGGGGATGGGGAGTTGAGAAATGGAAAATTTTGAAGAATTTTCAGCCTTGTGCTGTGCTTTTCTGTTCAGAACATGTGCAGATATCTAGTAAAAAATTAAGGAAATTTAACAGGAAATTAGAGAGACAAGGAAAAATGGCTACACACAAGCTCATAAGATGTGACACCGTCACTGTGAGCGTTTCAGGACATTCTGAGCAGTCTGTTAATCAGCTCCTGCTGTGACTTTTTCCACAGTAACACCCTGTGTTCACATTGCCTCCAGAAGAGTATGACATCTGACCACTTCTTCTTTCAAGTTTGCTTTAATCAAGAAGTTGCTAAGAAGTAAGTCAATCCCCCATGCATGTAATGTCCACTCCTCTGTTCCTTTTCTGAGCAAATCAAAAATGTACTGTCCTCAGTGCTATCCTTCCTGCCTCCCCATCTTACTCCTCGTATTTTGGTGTTCCCCATATCTCGCTGCTTCTACGCATGCAATTGTAAGCTCTCTCTGTTACATCAGTGAAGAGGCAGAAGGTAGCTCTTTCCAGCTGATCTTATGTTTGGTGCTATAAAGCTGTAATTCCAAAAAGAAAATAGAAGGTAAATCCCCAAAGTTTTAGGAATCTTTCCAGGGTCAGGAGAGTGCACCATGAGAAAGCGTTGGTTTTACAGAATCAGACCAGTACGTTGCTCTGTGATAGTGGGGCACAGCTGCAAGGTGATAATGTCTACATCACAGCATTGTGATTTGAATATCACAGTTTTAAATTAAGAAAGAAGTGATGGTTCCAATATTTCATTTAAAAAATCTCAGTTGGCATCTGCAGTGGGATTTATTTAACTCACTTTGTGGCTGGCAGAGTAAAAATGACTCCCTTACTTCTGGGACCTGAGGACTATAAAGAACATGAGACAGCAGGAAAAGAGAGAAGAGAGATGGAGGGGAAAGGAGACAATTGAGAAGGATGCATCCCAGCTGAGCTAGGTGCCAGCTAACATTGTGAGCCTGGAAGATGGCTCAGCGCAGAGGTCAGACTGGAAACTTCTTATTTGGGGTCGAGCGCAGTTAGGAGGGGATGCGTGTTCAGAGGTGTACATGTCAACGTACATCTGCCTCTCCTAAGCAGCCCTGTGGTTGCTGTCACTCAGATGAACCAGGAGATAATGTCACTGCGAGTTTTGCTGGCATCCTGTTTGAAAAGCTCACGGAGATGAAAAGTTTGTCCTTGCTAGTTATTTTAGATCTGACCTGAGGGCACACTCACATTTCGCTGGGGCTTTATTGCTGCTACCTGTTCTTGTGTCAGGGCAGTGCTAACTGAACAAAAAGTTATTTCAGTCTCACGAGGGCATTTATACAACTTTTCTAATTATTTTTAAACAAAAACTGTGGAAACAGAACATGGCGGCCTGGTGATGCTGATTACCTTACAATTAGCTGGATGCTTCCTCTAAGAGATGTGCTTTTCCTATAAAGCTTATTTTGAGTGGCTTTTAACAGTTGTTATCAATTATTCTGCCAGCTGAAGCATTTGCAGAGCTGCTGTCCCTGACAGCTGATAGTACTTGATTTTGAAAAGACACAGAACAGCTTTAATGTTTAGGAGAAACTGGCCAATAATTCTAAGTGAAGGTATTAGTAATAATCAGCAGCTAGGAACAGCATTGCACTTCATGCTCTGAGGGATGCATCCTCTGTAATTTGTCTCCAAATTCTCATTCCTTTGTCTTCACTAAAAACCACTCTCTGAACTCTGTTAATCTACTGGGTAGCAAAAGCAGAACTTTGCCACTTCATCTGGAAGCTACAGCTGGTATGCCTGAAAAAGCAAAAAAGACTGAATATTAGGCTTAAAAAGCTCTGTTAGAGAGAGGTTGAGTGATGGGCTCACCTGAAGGATACAAAACTCTGTTCCTCCCTGTGGAGCACTCCCGCCAGAAATTGTTTCTGTGGCAACAAATCCATCTGCAGCCAGGTTGTCCTGGGGTTTGATCTGGGGATGCTTATGCACAGACCTGTCACTGTGCCAGAAGCAAATAGAAATTCTGGTCTATAGGTAACGGAGAGGGCAGTCTGCTGCTGGTGCTCCACAACAGGCATCCTCCTGATAGTCTCCACTTAAAAATTGCTACAGGCAGCTTTTGCTGCAGGATGAGCTTAATCTCTCGTTCCTGAACATCATTGCTTCATTCTGCAAGCTTTCAAATTTCCTTTCTCTCACATTGTTTGCTCTTGGCTGACAGTAAAGACACACGAGCTTTGAGGAGTGAGAGATCAAGAATGAATGTATTACAAAAGCAAATGCAATCAGGCTATCAAACTTCAGTCACTTTAATGACACCTGAATAAAATGCCAAATAATTTTATTTTCCTTCTGTGAAAGGAAGAAGAAATTTTACTCTGATGGCTGATGATTTATTGTCTATGCACATATCTAATAAGAGTATGTACCTATTTTATGCTCTACATTTAAAAAGCAATTAGAAATAGCTTTCAATGTAGGAATTATTTGTTAAACTAGGAAGAGGTGCCTTAACTTATCATGGCATAACATTATTTGGAATTTGAACTTGTGTCCAAATTTCAGAGATAATCTTACACCTCCACACCAATGCAAAGCTTGTATTTCTGACTAGCGTTAGAATCCCACCTCTCCTACAGCAGCTTGTCCATCTTCTACCCAATAACTCATCAGAATTCCCCTGTAAAAATACTTGAGTGAATGCTGGGGAGTGTGAATGGTTTACAGGAAGCTTGTTACTTTTGCCATAGCTTGCTTCTCTGATGCTATGAAATAAACTTTATCCCTTTCTAGAAAGTAAGCTTTTTCCATTTCTGTGAGGTCATGGTTCCTCAACTACCTTCTCAATTTTTGTGTTGAACCTCTTTTTCCCAGATTTATAATACCATTATTGTGGGCAGGTTGTTTCTTTAAGAGTAGATAAGAGAAGGGTAGTCACTTTTCAAGCATATGGATGTTGAGTTTGTGACTCCAGAAGGGATGCTGTGACTTGCCTCCCAAGGAGAGAGGCGGCAAAAATGACAGGGGCTCTGGCAAGGGGAGGCAGGTAGTCGTGGCTCATGTGAACGCTGGTGTCATCTGAAGGTGTGATGGAGAGCGGCTGGAAACAACATTTAGGCTCTTCAGCAGAGAGATGAAGTGCAAGAACTCAATAGCAGGGTGCTGAGGAAGGCTTCTTACACCCTCTGCAAGGCCAGGCAGGGGTACAGAGGTATGAGTGGGAAAGTGGAGGAGAGAATAAGGGCTCGTGTACATCAGGAAATGAGGATGCTCAGAAGTCATAGAATCATAGAATATCCTGAGTTGGAAGGGACCCTTAAGGATCATCAAGTCCAACTCTTGACACCGCACAGGTCTACCCAAAAGTTCAGACCATGTGACTAAGTGCACAGTCCAATCTCTTCTTAAATTCAGACAGGCTCGGTGCAAGTGAAGGAATATAATAGAAAGCCAGGCTTTGTTTAAATTGCAATGAAAGTTAAGGTACTAGCACTTAAAATCATGTGAGTAACAAAATATTTTTTACATGAAAATTAGGAGAATTGAGGAAATGAAAATTCAGGAAATGAAAATATAAGGAAGCCTGCAGATACAGATGCCAGTGCTTTGTTTAGAATGATATTTCCACTGGGGACTGGGTTGCTGGAGTCCTGCATCTTCCAGTTAAAAAGAAAAGAAAAAAGTGAAAAGAACTGAAGTTTGCAGTGATCATCTAGGGAGTGAGAGCAAAGAGGGAAAGAATACAGAGGAAAGCCTTGTCCAAGGCACAAAATCGTTAGAAGTATGAGAAATAACATTGCAGAACAAGCTTTAGATATGGATATTGACTTAGGTCTTCTGGAAACTTGTCTAATTTCCAAGAAAGAAACTGCTCAAAAGAGGGAAGCTTAATTAAAGGCAGCAAAAAGGGATAGCTAGAAGAGTTACATTTCTTCAGGCTAGGTGGGGACTATCTGAAGACACACACACATGCATGCCCTCTCCACAAAAAAATACATAACGGGCTGAACTGAGGGGACTCAGCTGAGGCTGAAAGGAAACAAGCTCGGCTAAAACAGCACTGCGTGGAAGGGTGGATGGTGTGCTAGGCTCGAAGAACAGGATTTAGAACAGAAACGTTTGAAACACACACAATGGGGTCAGCGTAAGCCAAAAACACAAACCTGGTACATGGTGACAGTGCACGCGATGCTAGGTGCTGGCACGGACTGGGTTTATTTCCTGTCATGAATTCTGTCTCTGTGATCAAAGTGAAGCCAAACAGAGGAATACAAATGAAGTTAAAGAAAAATGAGGGGAGGAAGTGAAAAATCTCCAAATACTATAAACAGCTATTTACTTTTCCATGTCTTAAAACTTCTGCTGTACAAAATGAATCATATATGCAGATAATAGCATTTAAAAGAGAGCTGATGGCTTTTATTGAATGTGTCAGTATTTGCTGGGGCGTGCAACAGTGGAAACGTTGACCGGAGATCTGTTCAATCTCTTTAGACACAGCGGAGCTTCAACCACATTTCACTTACACCTGGCAAGTCAGTTTTTTCTCCCAGACAGACTTTGGTGTTTGCCAGACGTGATGAGTTGAATTTTGAACGTGATGAGTTGATTATTGCTCGTCCAAGTCGCTGCTCGTCAGCAGCGCTGCTCAGTCGGCTCTACCCAGTGAGCTATCAGTGAGGGAGGGGAACAGTTGTACAGAGCGTTTGGTTGCTCTAAGTGGGATTAGCTTCCCTAATTACTTTCTGTTAATGAGATGGTTCTGTTCGGAGGGCATGTTGTTCTGATACTTAGGTTTAATTACACTGTCTGGAAGCAGTGGTATTATAACAGATGTAAGCAGAAGGAGAATTTGGTCCCTCCTTTGGTCCCTAACTTGCTTCAAGTGCCTGTGGGTACGGAGAGCAAGCTGCTGTCAGTGCACGTCTGCTATATCTGTATGGTGCCTCAGGTGTCTGGGCCAAGGCATGGGCTAACACCTGACATGCTCTGCCCAGCCGTGTGTGAGCACTGACGGGCACAGGGGGCTGCCAGGGGGCTGCGGCCCACGCTCAGCCCGCTCAGAAATCGCAGGGCCCCGTGTGTGGGGCCACAGCTCCCTTGGCAGCATTGCTCTGAGGGGCACGGGCCTGTGGCGGTGCCGAAGGCCGGGGGGCACGCTGGCAGCAGAAGGAAGGCAGCAGTGTTTGAGATGCCGTGCGGATATCACCTAAATCTTCAGTTGCTAAGTTCTTGGCAAGACATCTGGCATTGCCCGGGGGAGTGCGGTGCTGGTATCGGAGCAGGCTGCAGCTTCAGGAAAGAGTCAGACAGAGTCTGGGAAAATGAATCAGAGAAGTGAGGCGATTTGCTCCGAGACTGTAGATGGTGAAATGAATCAGAGCCCGTTTACTTCAGGAGGGAGAAGTTCCTACTTCTGAGTCCCAAGCCTACAACACAGTTGTTCCAGTCCTTGTTCCTCACTGGTATTTTTGCTTGTTGATCATGGCTTGTGTGGTTTCTAATCCGTAAGACCTACTTAGGCTTGGCTCTTCTTCGCAGCTCGCTTTAAATGAGGATTGGCACACAAATTCGGGATTACGAGCAGTTCTATTGTCTGCAGTTGTTCGTTACCTGTTTGCCCACTTGTGAGGCAGAGCCAGGGCGGCGTTCTGGCTTCCGTATTGAGGAGGTTTATGGGAAAGAGAGGCTGAGGTGGCTGAGGTTTTAGCTGGGGGAAAGGAAGATTTGGAGTTGTTCTCTGAGGAACAGAGAGATTAAAGATTTATGCAGAAAGTGGTGCAAGTGGAGCTTCCTTCCACCCACTGCCCTGTACATCCCGGCAGCCTCCAGAAGATGGATGCTGAGGGCAGGAGCTAGCGCAGTGGTGAAATCCTGGAGGGTCACGTCATCCACCTGGCTGATCTTTAACAGCAGGAAGGAGGGGGCAGATGAGGGTCATTTTCAAAAGCTATGAGCCAACTGCTTGAGACAACTGTGGCATGACTAATTCCTGTTATATGATTCATCTCCCTGCTATTAGTTGGACTGCTCGCCTGAAAATACGCATAGTGTGAACTTATTATTACCATAAATAGGGATTTTCCAAAGTGAAGTTTCTTTTCAGCACTTCCCTGTGCTCAGTCAGTTGTTTGGACCCTGCGTTCGGTAAAACAGCCCCAAACCCAGGTAAAGAACATAAAGCAGTCTGAGATGTGGGACAATGTGTGTTTATTGTCCCCTCTGCCTTCCTTACCCCCTAACATCAAGTTGTCCTTCATATGGACAGGCCTCATCTAAGAAGTCCTAAGGCACAAAAATCTGCAATGAAATGCTACAGCAGCAGAACTTACATATACATATATATATATATATATATTTAGTTATATTTTTGTACATGTAAAGTCATGTAGATTTTACTTCCAAATATCTTTAATTTCTAGGGGAAAAATTCCCAAATCCCAAATGATGATTTAATTCAAAACTTTTTTTTTGTGGAAATGGTTTTACTTCATGTCAGATTTATACAGTTTGTATTCATGCTATTGCATGTCACCAGGAGGGTCTGATGTGCCTCATCACCTGACAAACAGTAATAGAGAAGAGCATAGGGGAGGGTATTGAGAGCTCTCCAAACGTTTCTTTGCCTTCAAGGGGCATCAGCTGGACCATCCTCAAGATGTTTGCTAAAGACAGCTCTACATCCCACACACCACGTACCCCAGTGCTCCACTTACCTTTGCTAGTGGAAACTTTTTTTGTGGTGTTTAAGCCAGTCTCTTGTTCAGGCTTACCCAGAGAGCACGCTTCCTTCTTTGCAATAATCTTTATCACGTCTGAAGGTTTTTGCTGTGTTTGCCCTCATCATTGCCCTCATCATAGACTAAACAAGCCTGCAGATAATGAAGCTCTGTAAGAAACAGCTGGATCAGTATGGACCACAAACCTGAATGTTCTACATTCAACCCACTTCATAAGTCAAACTTTCAGTTAAGCAGGAAACCACCTAGAAAGGCAGCAGCTGAGCACTTTTGGGTGCTGTAACAGAGCTAAGGTACCACGGACCAGTAACTCAGTATTACACAGTACCCCAGAGTCTATATATGGAGAGGGCACAGGGAACTTGTTGAAAAGCAAAATTTACCTTTCTGGAAAATGTCAATATTTCAGAAAAAAATACCCTGAATATCCCGGCAGATTATCATCCTAGGCTAACCTTTGTCCTTTTAATTATAACAGCAAGTCTTCTTCTTAACTGACGTACAAACTGCTGTATATGAGATATGTATTGTGTCTGATAGAAGAAGTCATTAATAAAGCATATTGTATTCTACAGCAGAACACTGGGAAGGATGAGGAGGTTACAATGATCACATACTGAACTGGAGTCAACAATATACTCCCGGAGAAAACCAACACAGAGGAAACATATTGCATTGGGAAGTCTCAGCAGGTGGTGAGTACTACCTCTCCATCCTGTGCACCACTGTAAGGCACTTGTAAGATTAAACTACATTACCATGATGGGCAGTGAGCATTGGAACTAAATTCAGAGGTCGTGAAAGTATATGAATTAATTCATTTCTAATATACATTGACTATCTTCATTGGCTTCTAGCTGCCTTGCATCAGTCAGCCCACACTGCTTACATTTAGCTGCATAGGTTAATATTTTCAGCTGTTGGTGGCCAGGGAAAAATTCTATAGAACAGTTAATGACATACCTGATACCCTTTAAGCCACCAAATGAAGCCATTAAAATGTTCTCTACTAGAAGACTTCGTGAGGTGGTAAAGCTTGAGATAGAGGAGGATGGGACTAACTACTGGAGGAAGCAAGGAGTAAACATTTGCCATTGCTAATGTGCTGCAGTATTTGGAACTATACTGTTTTAGACCATTGTAGTGGAATATTATTTTAAAAAAATCATACACAACATATTCAATGTCCAATCTAGTGCTTTCAACAAGTATTAATGTACTAGGAGAAGATGAAAGATTAATGAATCAAGGATTTTAAGATGAAGCTGCTACTCAAATTAGCATTATCAATTCCTAGTGGCATGTATGGGCATGAAACCCTGAACTATACCACCATTGTGGTTCACGTGGCATCCAAAGTTTTAGTGATGAAATATTTAATGTAAATAGCTTACTTCAGACTTTGGAGAAATTTGATGGTAAACAGAAATGAAGAAGTTGAGACAAATTCCCAAGATATCAAAGTTTGAGCAAATGGAGTGATTTACCCAATACCGTGAATAATTGCATGTCTGTGCTAGGGAAAATTGGGCAGTGCTGACTAATTAGTCTTTTGTTTATGTGGGTTCTGAAAAAATGTTGCTGGCTTCCTTCTTTGACAATAGGCTTATAAATGGAGTCATACAGTAATGACAAAAGTAAAGTGATTTGTAATTATTGGAATACTTCTATGGTTTCCTCCCACTGAAACAAACACACAGAGGAATAATTATTGTTGTATGCAGAGATTCATGTTAGACGACTCCCTTCACAAGTTAACAAATATGGAATGGGTTGTGTGGAGACCTAAAATAATTTTAGAAGGGAATTCAGTTTGAGAATTGAGGTTGGGTTGGCGGGTGGGGGTTCTTGCCTTTTTTTTTTCTCTCCCCAGTTTATGTAAGATGGTTTCAGAGGGTTAAAAACAGAGAGTCATTTTTTACTGTATGTCCCTGGTACGACTCTCTTGCAAATAGGACGTACAGTGTTTGTGCTTCTATTGAAAAGAGCAGACTGAAACAAATCAGGAATGAAAGTACAGCAGAGAATCTCCGAGGTAGCCTGTCTGCTTTACAGATGACAAAGCCAGCAGAAAACAGAAGTAAAACTCCTTGCAGCCAACTGCTCGTCACATAGAAGTTTGACAAAAACAGTATTTCTGTGTGCTGTCTCTTATAGTGATTTATACCTCATGCTCCTAGGGACCATGAACTCTGGTATCTATCTTTCAAGTGTTATGTTTGATTCCAGATTCAATGAGAAAGGTTTAGAAACTGGCCCAATTATATATGTGTATATATGGTCAGCAGAGAAATTAATTGTATTCCCTGAAAAGTCGTGTTGATGCTGCATGTAAAACTGGCTGCACTAAAAGAAAGTGAGCAGCACTACTGAGTGCTCTGGGGTCACCAATTAGACATCTCCAGTCTCTAGACTAATCTCTAGGTCTCCAGTGCAACCTAGTTTTTATTCTACTTGCACATTTAAATCAGGCTATGACCTTTAATGAAAAAATTGTAATTTTTACTGGACTTCTGTCTTAGTACAAGTCATATCAACTCTATCTGACCTCAACAAAACCAGTGCCCCACTGGGGTGCCTGAGCCAAACCTGAGCACCTTTCTTGTAGAAACTGAATGCAGTCGACCTGCATTGCCTTGGTTTTCTTCCAGGCCTGCCAGCACCCTCTTCCTTTGATCTGCCCAGACCAAGTGTCCCAGCACTGCAGCTTTGCTGTTTCAGGTCCCTGAGGTAACAGTACTAACTTGCACGCATCTCCATGGCTTTTCATTGTGCCCTTACGAGTAGCTGTGTAATAACTTGCCTTCTCCCAGGTGTTCAGCAAGGATAAAATACCTTATTCACTAGAATTGTTTCCACCTTTAATAAATGTCCTATAGCCCACTGGTTTGATTCATCTCTGGCAGTCATTGGTATGACGTTTGAGTGCTTCACAAACACTAACCATTTACCTGCTGGAAATGCTTATCTGTAAGGCGATATAATTTTGAATTTGTGGAGACAGAGATGGGGATTATACAGTTTGGTAGCCCAAAACATTTGGACTTTTTCTAATTTTCCTGTGTATTTCTTAGTGAGAAAGGTTCCACAGACTTTACCAGTGGTGAGTGGAGGGGGCACCTGGCTTCATGCCCTGTAAGTGCTACATCCCACTGTAATTCTTTTCTTCTGAGCAGTAACAGAGTGTCTGTAAGTGCATTGTTAGCCATCCTGCTGCATAAACAGATATTCCCCACTGAATACTGACAGATTTTTTTCTTTCCAAGCGTGGTAATTTTGCATTTGTCCTTGGTGGATTTAATTTTGTTTTCAGACCAAGATCATTTTAAATCCTGACTGTTACATATTCCTTCCCAACTCAGTATCATTTTCTGATTTAATAAGTGCATTTTCTATCCCAATATTAACAGGATAGAAATTATGAAATTATGAACCGATGTCATATGAATAGATAAAAATAATAATTAGCATCCTGAATCCATCTAGTCACTGTTGATCCATTCCGGATCAACAGTGACTAGAGGTGACTGCTTTTTGACTGTGGTTGCATCACGCATCAGGCAGTAAGCATAATGCCTTTGTACTTTCCCAGGTGTTACTGAAAATGCATGTTGGGATGTGTCAAAAGTCTTTATGAAATCAAGATGCTCTACATATGTTGCTTCCTTTCCAGCAATTCAGACACATACCTCATCAAAGAAGGAAATTAGATTGGTCCCACACTACTGTTTCTTGTTGAATCCATGCGTCTGTTTCTTACTGCAGCAGCATCTCTAAAGCAGTGCTGCTGCCCTTGCTGCCCATCTCTTCCCCCTCATCCTCCCTGGCTTTGTCCAGCCCTGACATGCAGCTGCTAATTCTTCTCTCTCAAGTCCTGCTTTTCCTCCATACATCTTTAGCCCTGGTGCATGGGACTCTGTGTGAGAAAGAAATCGTTATGATGTCATGAGAGCTACAGCTGTTAAGAAGGGGGCTGTCAGGGCTGAAACCAGGCTGAAGAGGCTACGAGGACAGGGATGACACTGAGCTGTGGGGGGTTGTTCTGGGGGCTGGGGTACTGCCATGTCTGGGATGACATTTGGGTATGAGGCTGCGTGAGGCAAGGCTGATGGTTGCAGGGAATGGGAAGCAATAAATTCATGGATTAATCAGTGGAGATGAGACCAGCTTCCACTACTGTCCCTCATCCCTTCCAACTCTGATTTCCACTCCCTGGAGCAGCAACATGAGCTGCAGCCTGATAAGGCTGCATGACGCAGAGAAAAGAGCACCCATCCATGCCTGAGCCGGCCCTCTGACAGCAGGCAGGTAGGGCTGAGGTCAGAGCTTCTCCCATCTCCCCAAGGAAGGGTGTGAGGTGCGTGCAGCTGCCAGCCCCAGCCCACACTCCGCTCCTGAAGTACGGCAGGACTCGCTTGGGGTGAGTCTGAGCAGCTGTGAGTCACTGCTGTAAATACCCATGTATGTGTACCGATTGTCTGACAGCTTGTTCTGGTTGGAGCTGAGCTGGCTGGTGTACGATTCTCCAAACACTCTTCTCAAGACAAGCAATATGTCTGTTTTACCCCAATCTGCCGTAAGTTCTGAAACATCATCCGCAGTAATTCACAAATTGCTCTAGCTGATTCTCTCAGACTGCACAGAGACTTTAAAATATCTGCTGGCCTTTGCTTATCTGCTTTGTCTGTGCCACTCTTCTATTTTTTTTTTTTTTAAAGTGAGATACTGGGTCACAATTTTGCTTCTGAAGATTGAAATAAAAAAATAACAGCAAATATTTCAGCCATGTTTAGATCTACAATTTCTGCTTCTGCCTCATGTACTTGTCTTTCCTTTCCCTTCCTTTTCTTGGGGAAGTAAGAAATGGGATATTCCAATAATAATTGGATACTCTGGCCAGCAAAGAAAAGAAACATCCTTATTGCCTTTTTTGGCTCTTTCCACTTGTGACCTTTTTACTTCATCATTCCTCTGGTTTAATCCAGGCATTGTTGTGCCATTTCCTCATAGTCAGCCTTAGTCATGCTCCCCAGTTTCCACTCTATTCTACATTTTTGGGGTGATTTTGTCTAACAGTATTAGGTTTCTCAAGTAGCTAGGAACCTGATAGTCTTCGGAAAGAAAGGTGGTAACAAAGGAGTGGTTGTTTCTTCTTTCCTCTCTTTCAGCCAGAGCATCACCCCAGCGAGATGATTGAGCGTGCAGAGGAGGCAAGAAGGGGCAGAAAGCACCTCTTAAAATAGTAATAAAACCACAGTTATCTTCTGTGGAAGGAATGCTCAGCAACCAGGTGCCATTTCCCCTCTCTCAGATCCTGCCTTTCCTATTGCAGCTCTCACAGCCGCCCCACCTCGCCCCGCTAACCCTCACTCAGGTTAGGGCCTGCCAGTCTCTGCCCAGTTTACATTGCTCCACTGCTCCCTGGTCCCTGCTACTACTCATTGCTTCCAAGCACCTTCCTCTGACCTTGTTCTTCCAGGCTTTGTGAACCAGCGTTGCACCACGCTGACAAACCCTCGAGCCTTGGGGGAAGTTTAGTGTGGGGGTTTAAAGGCCAGTGTTTATGTAGGTAATGATCTGAACCAAATCCAAAACTGAAACAATCTCAGATTTTTGGTTCCAAGATGTGCAGCATGGTCCAAGTCTTGCTATGAAAGCCAAGTGACTCAGGTCTGTTTGTGATGTATGACAGGTGGAAGGACAGATTAAACAGCAAGAGATCTACTGCCATGTAACAGCACACAGCCACGTTGTCCTCCCTGCTCAGGGAAACGAGTGCTTTGTGGATGAGACAAGCTGTGAGCACAACTTTTGCAAATGTGTACAAGGAAGTCCTTTGGCTAAAAATGCGTAGATCTAATCATAGACAGATTTCTTATGAAGAATCTTGTAGTGATGCTCGTTGAAACTGGGGAAAAAAAAAAAAAAAAAAAAGAAGAAAAAAGAAAACAACAGCCAGGCACCATCCTATTACTCAGTCTGAGCTGAAGAGGCTATTGTCAGTGGTTCTGGGTTGGTTCCTTTGCCATCACCAGCAGACATCACTGAAGGTGTGAGTTGCTCTGCAGTTCACAGTGCAGGGTGGGAATCGTGCTTTTGTCAGCATCTAGGGCATGAAGGGGGTTGGGAAAAAAGAAAGAACCTGCTGTTGAATTATCAGTGAGTGATGAAAGTTGGCTTATTTAGACAAGAAAAAGTCAAGCTCTCCAAAGCCTGGAGATCCTTGGCTTTATTTTTCATCCAAGAACAAGAGGAGTGTTTGGAGCTCATCTACAGGTTTTCTTGCCAAGACTGGGGCTTAGGTAGGTAACACTGAAAAGACATGGGCATATGAGAGAGAGAGAGAGAAATCTTGCCTGGAAATGTCTGCGGACTCGTGATACTGGAGGTGTTACATAAACTAAGCTTTAAAAAAACCCACACAGCTGCACTATTTCCATATTAAAGCTGTCTAAATGGAATGCCTGTGTGTTCCCATCCATAGCTGCTTTCAGCTTTATGATTATCTGCACCCCAGATGTTTTTCTTACAGCAACTTTTTCATTTTTCTCCTCCTACTATCTAGGCTGGCTTAGTAAGTAATGAGGGAGCTATTTGTCTTTCCTATCCCCTGCATCGCCTTTCCTTCAGTTTCCAATTTGCCAGGGAGCTTGTAAGTTACTGTGTATTATATTCCTAATAACAGAGTGGTCTTTAAAGGCTGTTCTTCCACAACATCCATTGGACACCCTCATTGCAGTGTTTTGATACCAGTCTTGACGAAAAAGCACGCAGTTTCATTCCTGGCCAGTGCAGAGCTGTGTTAATGTACTTGGGTTGTGGGGAAAGAAGGGGAAAGGTAAACTACCTTCCTATTTCCCAGTTGGCTGCTGAAGCTGTCACTGGTGAGGCACGAGGTGGTCAGAGGGCCCTGAGGTGTCTCAGAGCCCACACACTGAGGATGTTGAAACAAAGGAGTTTTCCAAGCTCACTTCATCCACAGACCAGAAGAGCAGCATAAAGCAGCTATTGTGCCAAAGAGAATCTGGAGCTTTGCAACAGCCAGCCTTCTCTTCCTGGCCCCAAAACAGCACACACCAGCACTTCCTCCAGGAGCAGGAAACATTACTGTAATCAGAAGTGTGTATTATATTAGAACAATATCATATCAATAAGACTTCTTCTGTGTCTTTCACATTCTGCATTCTGGCCAGACTTTTAAGCTAAGCAGATATGAATTTTACAATCATGTTCTTCATGACATAAACATAATTTAATAAAAACAGTTTGAGTTCTTAGAGGAAAAGAAGCATTTTCAAAAAAACAGTGCAACTGTGGAGTACATCTGCTTTTTCTCACACTGTGACCCATTTTGGCCTACTGGGTAACACTGAGAAAACAGAGAGCTCTTGAACTATGAACATATAAAGACAGTTCTGACTCTTGAAAGGTATTGACAACCTTCAAAGTACTTTCTACAGTCTTTTAGATTATCAATTTGGTCTTATCAACAGCAGCTGGGCACTGACTGGATGCTTTTAGTTGTTAGGTTAGATGATGGATCACAGATTTTTAGGTATTTTAGGCTGTAACTGGGTATGACGATTATTCCGTGCAGACAAACTCTTACCTGTAAAAGTCACCAAATTATTTTAAAGAGATTGTACTAAATACAAACTCAACTACAGTTGTGCTTGGCCTGGAGTCCTGGAATGGAGAAGGTGAGGTGGCATAGCGAGGCTGTCAAACCTGTCTCAGTGCAGATCCTGTGCACGGTGCTCACAGGCTTGAAGCCAGACCTCCTGTTGACCGAAAAGCTGCATGGCAGTTGTGTGTAGCCACTGAGAAAAGCACTGTGTGCTGGATGGTGCTAGAGGAGTAAAAATGCCCCCTAAGTAACAGTCCTATGGGAAATCTGCATGTAAGTTCACAGATGAATTTCTGTACGCACCTGCGATGCTAACATTGCCATCGTTGTTCCACAGGGAAGCTTATGGCAATCTCTTGGAGCAAACTTCAAACTAAACCAGAGGTGTCAGTGACTGGGTCCCTTCCACGGCATTTCTGCTGCCATGCTCACTATGTCCGTGGTCACTGTTGTGTCAGCCTGGTGGAGGGGCAGTCTGAAGGAGCTGCAGGAGCACAGGAGCAGCAGAACAGAGCTTGCGCCGGGCTAGGCTCCACCAGTCTTTTACACAAGCAGGTTTAGACATTTTAGTAGTTTTGGAGACACAAAGAAAAATGCAAATTAGGGTAGTAAATGGGAAAGAACGACAAGTCTTTATCTTTGTCCCTGACAGTGCTGTCTCCTTTTGAACCCAAATTAACTGAAGCTTTATGGTGGCCATATAAATTGCTAACCTTACCCAAGTACATGCTACAACCGCGCATTTTCTGGTAGTGGTTCAAAGAACTAATCTCGCCGTCTTGCATCGTCACATAAAGCATACATCTCCCTAAGACTGGGCCACAGTTTGCCCTGCTCTTTTCTAGTCCTGAGCACTTGTGCCAAAGTGACCAAGCGTATCACATTAGGTGATAAAAGGGTGAGTCTGATACTTTGTTTAGTCTAGGGTTTAATCACTGTGGGCTGGCTGAAGGCTTAACTCTTGTCCTGGTTGAACTGGGTGCTAACCAATTGTCAGCAGTGATTTTTATGAGTCTGAAACAGTAATAGTTCAGTACGGAAAATGTTTGCACGGGCACGTTTGGGTTGTAGAAGATTCTTTGGGTGAAAACAATTGTATTCATCTTCAGTGTAGGTGAAATGGGAAGATCATGTGTACAGATAATGATGGGTGGGTTTGAGAGTCTGTGGCAAATAAGGAATTTGTAATAACTTATTTTGTAGGACTAAGACCATACAGACATTATGCCATATTTTTAAGGTGTCTTTCCAACAGACAGCTTGCTTTTGGGACTGTGTTTATGCTTAACTGTAAAAGAGGCTGCTAAAATTTCCAGTTTATTCATCCTGATGGATTGAACTGCATATTCTATGGTATTTTTTATCTAAAGAGAAATTTAAGTAATGGAAATTAAAAATCAACTGTTTTGTGCACCTTGCATCCCCCAAGGAAGTCTGAGTGAACTACTGCTTTGCCAGGGAAATATTTCCATTTTGAACAGATTGGATTACTGCTTTTGTGCCTCATCTGTAAAAGAGAGATGATATTTCTTCACCTTTTAGATACTCATAAAGCTAAAGTGACAAATGTTTGTAAATTGCTTGGAAATTCTTTGACAGAAAATTTTGTTTATGTGCACAGTACATGGAGTTACTCATATGAATCATGATTTCCCAGACAGGCTTTATCTTCTATCAAAGACTGTAAGAAAATTTAGTACTAGGAAAACACATCTTACTGAAAACCCATGATTTGATAATGATATTCTTAAGATTTTAATGTGTTTTACCACCAGGTTATTAACATCCTGCAGCGAGTCATCACTTGAGCCTGAAGTTTGTGTGGATGAAATAAGGAGTATATGAAACTGGATGAAATTAAGTTCTCCATCTATTCATTTGGGACCCTGATGAATGATACATGTTGAGAAGTAGAAGATGGTGAATTCCACAGACAATGCAACCGAACAGTGTATTATTGACCATAATATCCACCAGATATTATCCCCTGTGGTATACATATTTGTATTCATAATAGGCTTGCCAGCCAACTGCCTGTCACTGTACTACGGGTACTTACAGATCAAGGCTAAAAATGAATTGGGTATCTACCTTTGCAATTTGACTGTAGCAGACCTCTTTTACATATTTTCTTTGCCTTTCTGGATCCAGTACGTTTTACAGCATGACAACTGGACCTATGACGAACTGCTGTGCAAAATCTGTGGCATCCTCTTGTATGAGAATATCTATATCAGCGTGGGCTTCCTCTGCTGCATCTCCATCGACCGCTACCTAGCAGTAGTGCACCCTTTCCGGTTTCATCAGTTTCGGACAATGAAGGCAGCTATGATTGTGAGCGCTGTTATCTGGACCAAAGAAATAATGACCTGCTGCTTTGTCTTTACACGCGGGGAGATCAGTATGGATGCCGAGAGCCATGTGGTATGCTTTGAGCATTACCCCATCAAAGACTGGGAGCACAACATCAATTACTATCGCTTCTCTGCTGGCTTCCTTTTCCCCTTCTTTCTGCTGGCCTTCTCTTACTGTGGGATTTTAAGAGTTGTCCATAAGAGTCATGGCACTCAAAAGAATAAGAAAATCCAAATTAAACGACTGGTTTCAAGCACTGTCTTCATTTTTTTAGTGTGCTTTGGACCATACCATATCCTACTTGTAATTCGCAGCGTGTTTGAGAACAACTGCTCATTTGCTGACAAAATATTTAACATTTACCATGCTTCTCTCCTGTTGACTACTTTTAACTGTGTTGCTGACCCAGTATTGTACTGTTTTTCCAGTGAAAGCACTTACCATAACTTTGCCAAGATACGAGACTCTTGTTTAACATGTTTAGGATGTCTAAAGACCGAGATGAAAGAATCCTATCAGCTGAGTGCTCCAGAAACTCCCAACAGGCCACAACATGAGCAACAGCCAGGGTTATTACAAAAATCATGTGATACTACTGAAACAATGGAAGACTCTTCAATTAACATGGGCTATTTATAGCGTTCATCAAAAAGGACACATAAAATGTCCATGTATGACTGTACGTACCCATCTGATTTATCTATGTATTAAACTGTTTTACCTCCCAAAGGCTTATTAGCAATGCAATATAGTGAGGTGCCCTTAGCTACAATTGTCTGTTGTCATTATGGTACCACTCAATACCAGTCACCTGGCATTGACTGAAATAAGCTAGTACTCATGGTGTGGTTCTTTAACTGCTGTCTTTTTGCAGCACCAGGAGAAAAAAAGAATCTCAACAGTCTGTTGAAAAGGTTGGAGATAGAACAAGTTAAATGTGCCCGTAAGTTCTTTTGAAAAGAAAAAATTGATGCATTTTTGCAATGCATTATGTACTTCTCTGAAATAACTCCTTCTCCAGCTAGTTTAAAGGTGTGCAGAGACTTTGCAAGAGCCAACTTGCTAAAACAACTCATCAAATAATATGAGATGTTCTGGGACAACAGGCACAAGAAATTTATCATCTGCTGAGACCTTCAGTGTGTGGATTGACTGTTGAAACTCGTCATAAGGCTTCTGTTGACTTCCAGAGGTATGAGAACTCTTGGCTCTGACTGGAATAAATAATTCAATTTGTAGACTTGGAAAAGAACAGGAGGTTTGTAGTATGTGTCATGCATTTAACCCATGCATTTCTCTGAATCATTGTCTTCAAACATTAATTTAGTTGCAACAAAATTCTACTGAACCTTGATTTGGACTGTGTCCTTCTAAATCTTGTCTCTCGTGTCACCATGCAGGTAAATAATAGTGGATTTGTCAGTGAAACTCCTAAATGGATTCTGCTCAAACTCTGTTTTCACTAATAGGTATTATAGCTTAGGCTTTCGTCATTGTTCAGTAAATACAGTATCAGAAATATGATATGAGAATGATCCATAATGTTTTCTAGTTTAGACAGAAACAAAGTACAGGAATACCTGGAGATAGTTAAAGATGAGGTTGTTGTGCTCTATAATAGAATTTATACAACCAAGTCCTCTCTAGTTTTTTGTTGGTGGGGTGTTTTTTATATATATATTCTTTCTACTAATGAATCCTGTTTCTTCTTTGTTATCTCATCATAATTTCTCGTATCTGTATCTGTTACACCGTGAATATTACCTCATCCTTTCACTTATTCTATAATTTCAAGCATTTCTTGAAAACCTTTGTCTCTGCAATCCAGAGTTGATAACATGCAGTAGTACTTTTTTTTTGTTTCTTTTTAATGTCAAAAGATTGTCTAGACGGACCTTCTATACCTGATATCTCAAATATGTCACTGTACATAGCCTCGCTTGTCTGTGATTTTTAAAAGGCAGCATGCTCTTAGAGTTTTTTGGAAACCACCCTGAGAGTGCAATACTAGAAGTAATTAGGCGATGTGTTTAATAAATAATGTTTTTATTATTTTCTTCTTATATTTGTTCATTTTGTGTTCGGAATAACTATACTATGGCTTTGGCTCACAAGATTCTATTTGTGAGACTACAGATCCTCTCCTCTGCTTTTACAGAAAGGATTCATGTCCCCACTCTAAGGAGGGGATTAGGTTTGCTTAGGTTAACATTTGCTTTGTTTAATTCTTTTGCATTTCTTTATACTTAGACCACTCACCATGCTGGATTAATTACCTTATTACATGCATTTTTCTTCTGACTATCAGTGCTGTTTAGCTTTACTTTCTGTTAGTCTTTCCTCCAGCCTCTCCAGTCTGCCTGTATCAGCTGGGTTGGAAGGCAGGGACTCCCGACTGCCATAATCCATCCGTGTATGTTGTTGAAAACACAGCCAACTGCTCAGGCTCCCATGACCTGACATGCTGCAAGACACACACATGGTTTGTTCTAAGATAAAACATTTGTTGCCCTGTTTACGCTTTACTTCTTTATAGTCACCCATGTTGTTTAAATTAGCTGGGATGCAGAGCACGCCACATTACATGCAAATACCGTCTGACAGATTAAGACTTAGTTATGTTGGTACTTTGTTGTGGTCAACTTTTGGTCAGCTGCTACAGTTTAAATCAGATGGAAACGGTCCAGCACCCTGCTGCAGTTATCATCATCTAACCTGCCAACCAGGCAGGGAGGGAAAGGTCGCTCCTCCCTCCCACCCCAGCACGAAGTCAGTATTTCATCAACTATTCCTATATTGTAATGGTTGGGCGTAGGCTGCAGAACTGCGACCACCATGGGAGGAAAGTAAACCTCAGAGCCTTTCTATTTCATCCCGAACATAATCAAGGGTTGCTAGAGATGTTACATATTGGCATTGGATTAAATACAGGGCTTGGGACTGCACAGGAGAAAGCATTTTTAAAATGCGCATTAGAGAAAAAGACTAATAATTTATTACATTTTATACTTAGCAAAATCTGACTGTTAAAATGTATATTTTGGAAAGAAAAGTACAAAAGTTTATCAAATCAAGTTCATTTGATGAAAATCAGTGTTTGGAAAGAATAATGTACATCTGTTAGCGTAACAGGTCACTAAGCATGTAGCACACAGAGAAAGAAATCACATGACTCTATCTGAACAGGTATCTTTAAATTACATCAACTTCATTTTGTGGGTTCTGTGCACCAACGAACGTATGCGATCCTATGGGGTTACTGGCTTTGGCAAAAAAAAAAAAACACAAAACACTCAAGTACTCTTACTGAACATCTTAATGGTTTTAGATAATTTTGGAGACTTCTAAAGGAGCTATTTTCTAATTGTGAGACAGTTTCACCACAATGTCCTTCGAAAAGGTTTTAAGCAAAATTAATCAAAAAAAAAAAAAAAGACTGAGCCATAAATTATCCATTGGAACCTTTGGCAAATCTGACTGTCTGTCAGCATTCCGGCGTTAAGATTTTCTCTCATACATGTTCAACTGTTGTAGATCTTTACAGGCTGTGTATCCTCAAGGAAATCAGAAGATTAATGTTCTAAGAATGCTGGCGTTTGTGGTACAAAGTGATTTTTCTTATTCTCAAAGCGTTACATGTTTGTCTTAGATAAGAAGGGAAAAAAAAAAAAAAAAAGAAACCTCACTTGCCAGAAAGAATAATAGATATAAGACATTGCTAGCAGTTGAAATACTGTCCTTTGGAAAACAGTGGGCAAACAGAACTGCCATTTGGATGCTGTTGAAGCACAATATCTTGGTGCTCTCCTTTTGTACCATTATAATCATTTTATGACAGGTAAAGCATCAGTGCCTGAGAGGTGCAGTGCAAAACAGAGCCTGTCCTTCCTGCTGTGAGGACTGACAACTAGCACATCTTCAGCCCTGATGCTCACCTTGAGTTTTGAGGTAGTAGCACAGCTTTCAATGACGTAAGTCAGGCGCAGTTCACACCTGTTTGTCGTGTACTGGTTCACTGTCAGTAGGCCTTTGAGATGTAATTTAATTTTTCTTCACTCAGTCTCATCAAGACCTGTATTTCTATAACTGGAATTTATTTAAATATTCATTTACATTATTTTATACTGAATGTAAATGTTCTTAAAGCACAATCAGAAATTAAAGTTCTAAGCGTTATTTTTAATCACTATGGATTGAACTCATTTAGGGTATCCTATTGTTAAGAATTAAAAATTTACAGTATTTCTGTATTACCCAGAAAGGGACAAAATGTTAAACCTTTTATAAATGGTGAACTACCGATATGAAGGAGGCAAACAGTGCAGCCTACCCTTTACATGGCAAGTCTGCAGGGCTGCCCTTATTTTCATTGCAGCCCTCCCCTTGTCTCCTCGCGCTTCCACAAATGACCCACTGCTGCAAGAAAACAGTGTTAGAGGAAGAAGTGTGCAAGGGAGCTGTATTTAACAACTTTTACTGCTATAACACTTACTGTTTTGTTTTCTTTTGAATACTCTGCTGCAGCTGTCTTCCCCACCACAAAGTATTTTTAAATCCAAGTTGTTACAAGAGTTACTTCCTGTTGCAGTTACGAGGTTAGTAAAACAGGAACAGCAATGCTTCATTTTAATGAGAACTTTTCTTCGTAAAAGCCAGATCACCTCCTAGTATATAATATCATTTAATATCCATTATGAAATTACAGAAAAGAAAGGTAGACCAAATCATTATGGTATCTCCTTCCTGCTTCACCAAAATATTATGAGGGCAATAATAACAGGTTGTGCATGGGCAAGACACCAGAGATAAAAAGTCCAGTACTTAAGAGACAGAGACTCATCTCTTACAAGGTAAAAAATGATCAGAAAAATACTAGGAAATAAGAAAATAGGAGCAACTCCTGATTTGGAAATCCTGTGGGGCAGTTACTGCTTCAGCTCTTGCAGCAGCTTCTCAATCATAAGCGAGTGGGTGTCGTAGAAGGGCAGCCCGTCCACTTCCATTTCTAGACTGGCAGTTTTTCCACTGCGGACCCCGTGCTGCACAAGTGCTTTCAGAAGCTTTTCTTCCTTAAAAGATAAAGGAATATGACATAATTAATATCCCAAATCAGACAAAAACATTCATCAAGATCTTTGTTTTAAACCTAGGGAGACTCTGACCGTCACCCTTCGTATTTATTTTGGATAGCAGTTTGTGAACATCATTTTTCTTCTCTACACTCCCTCAAACAGCACGTTGGTGTCTGAGTGCCTGATTTCAAGTCCCTCGATGCTGAGTGCCTGATTTCAAGTTCCTGTATTGCACAGATGTGAATCAGAGGAACCTCCACCTGAAGCACCTCAGAAAACAACCTGTTGTTTCCCTAGCAGAGCAACAAGCTGCAGATGCATTTTTAAAGAAAAAGTACAGAGGAGGAAAAGGGTATGTCAGGGGAGAAGGCTAACAAGAGAACCTCACTGGGCTGCACAATCACTTTCTTCCCTGAGTATTCTGTGATGACTACATGCCTTTTGCTCTCTATCCTCTTTTTCTATTGATTTTATGAGAATTCTGGTCCCTTAAGAAAGGAATCGGGGGGGAAAAAATACAACCTGAAGTTGCTCTTTCCTGGAATTCTTTGAAGTAATGTCTAATTTCCTTTGTTTTGAACTGCAAACTCAATTTTGTGTTTGTAACTGTTATTTTCTTGCAAAACAGTGGTATAAGCAGATATAAAGCATGTTCCAAATTTAACTAGTTAAAGTACACAGAGGGATCAAAATCCTCCATTGTGACCTATGGGCCAGTTGGCATTGTGAGAAGAAAAGATGGGATAAAATCATCTCTGAAAAAACACTACTTCTGTCAACAGTGAAATTGGAACAGCCTGGTTTCTAACGGGCATATGTGTAGCTGTTTTGTCCCTTCCCAAAAGGTTTTTTTCTGAAAAGCCAGAGCCTCAGTAGCAGCATTAAAGAAGAGACCCCTCTCTCTTCTCCCCAGTAGTCAGTTTTGTGAAATTTCCCAGAATCTCAGAACTTAGAAACCTCTTCCTTTTGTGAAATTTTGAACCTCCTGTTGAATTTCAATGAAGCTTACACATTCCATTTACCGTGGTAGTTATAATAAAGAGTCCTTCAAGGCAGCAGTGCATAAATTGTCTGTTTGTTCAGTAATCTTTGAGAATTCTGGAGGTATTCAAAATGCCATTATTCTAGATACTCTTCTCTTCATTTGACATGAAATATACGTATTAAAACTCTTTACAGAAAATGCTAAGACCTTATATAAAGATAATTTGAACCTCAAATTTTGTTAATAAAAATCTAAGAAGAATAAAAAGCCTACTCACATCTTTGCTTCCCTCCACCCCTCCTCTCACGTAACTTACATAATACCTTGATGTAATCATATACATATATTTTTTTCTTCCTTCCTCAAGAATGTCTTTTCTTTCTATGAATGCCTTCTTTCTAAGAATGCCTCTTCTGGTCTTTGGTCTGTTTTACTTCCAGTTATGTGAGACCCTGCTTTGATGGAAATCGCTACTACCATATGAAGCCCTACCAGTGTCCTTGACAGACAGCTCTATAGGTTCAAATACTTTTTTGTTTGATATTCCCTACAAAAGCATTAACAAAGTCCTTTATATCCTGGACACAGATGAATGACCAAAACATTGCGATGTTAAAATGTCTAATGTTTTCCATATTTGTTTTCTAATGTCTATGTTATCTATATAACAGAAAATATGTTGTTTTGCTTTATTTTATTTTATTTCATTTCTAGGAAGACTTCTAAACCATATAGAATATAGTAGCTTTAGATCTGAATTTATATGTAATATGGTTGTATTTTACATACGATTGTATATGGCCAAAATATAAATATTTCTGACAGAATCAAAACATACCTTACATGGTTGTTTAGCAGAGAATTCAGTATAACTTGGAAACCTGCTTTTTGAATGCACTCGATATAAATATGTTATATTTCCTGGTAATGCATCCTAGATCTTAGCTGTAACAAAGTGAAATGAGCCACTCTTTTTCTATTAAAGAAAAAATAGCTATAGTTACACGGTGTCAGTCTTGACATCGTGTAACAATACAGCAATGATACAGCTATTTAAGGAAATTACCTGAAGACACTCTTAGCATAAAAAGCACTACATTGTCATTTATCAGCACCTTATATCATGCACAATGATACGTATGAATATATGAATGCAAATAGAAGCATCTGATCTTTCTGCAAAGAGAGATTTTGTCTTGGCACTGAGTATCTATATGCAAAGTGGCAAATTACATCTCCCATGTCACAAAAGAGACACACAAATTGGATAAGCAAAATTTAATTTCTTATTTTGAATTGTTTTTCCTATATATTTACAGGCTAGAGCTCTTTGTTCTGCTTACATAGGGAAAACAGGCTTAATATTATATAACTATGTCTGTATTCTCTCATCAAACATTACTGGTTGCACTTGTGAAACATACACAATTTACACTATGCTCAAAATCAAACCAGCATCGGATTAACTGACACAATCTTGATTCAACTCCACACCTGAAAGGTAGGTAAAGATGATTTAGATTGATTATTTCTTACTGATCAAGGTGTCAGCAATGACCAAATGCTTCTCAGTATCTCTTATTAAAATATATGTAAAGAATAAGTCATGCATTGAGAAAAATCTTAGTATTTTGTTGAGCAGAAATGGAGAATGCCACAATTCTGGGTTTTGTTACATTGCAACCCTGATACTGCTTTAATGCAAGGCTGGAGAAAACCTTTATACTTCAGGGGAAGTCTTCTTAATTTAGTAATTATGATCTATGGGTTTCATGGAAAGAATGCCATTTCTGGAAGAAAAATAAAATGTGATAAGAAAGCTGTTTGGTACTTAGGCACTTACTCAAATGTCTTCTTTCCAATTACAACCACACAAATATTAACACTGAGGTGGGTATGGTGGCGCTTTTTATCTTACTAGGGTAATTATTACAGCATTAAAAGAAGCTGTACTGGGCAGAAAGTAGCCATGTAAACCATAAATGGTCTGATGTTTTATTTTATTCTAATGGAGTATGTGAACACTAATGTATTCAAGCTCAGGAAATCTTCTGCGCTGTTTACTGTTCTATGATTTATAATTAAAGATATAATCTCCTCTTGTCAGAAGATTTGTCATTTTCTTTCTTCCCACAAAACTGTTGCCATTAATTTTATCTCAATAGATTTTAGTGTTGAACTTTCAGCAGCTCATTATTGGATCATTATCAATATTGCCAGCTGTATAACTTAGTAAAATAAAAGCAAAGATTTCCTGTATACAGTATCACATTTAATTGCAGTATCTTGTTACCAGGAATTTTGATCATAGTTTTTTGGATATGTAAATTCAAAGGGAAAACAAGAAGATGTGAGTCGAAAAAATCAGAAGTGAAAAAATAATTAATGTTGGAGCTGTCTTACATGTCACACAGAAGTCCAAGGGTAAGTATATATGGCTAAGCTAACGGTTGGGATCAGTTTCAGTTTTATGTTCTTTATATGAAAAATCAAACGAGCAACAACTACAAAGTATGACCTACTCTACACTACTGTGTTGGAATTTCAGGCCAAACACACTGTCATGTCAGTAGAAATATTTCAGTGTTACAGACAGTATCTACGCTGGATGGATTACATTTTGCTTAGCATTCCTGGAGGTCACAAACAATACTGTGTTTTTTCCAAGTCTCTATAGAAGTACTCTGCCAATAAAACTGATTTGAATTTCCTCAGTTATTATAAATATGGTGGAACAATCCTTACTTGATCACTGCATGTATTTTTTAACACAGCCAAGTTAAAAATAGAACCATGTGATTAGCAGGATGCTCACATATCAGTTCTCATCCCTCTTCGTTATTTTAATTTTCTCAGTGTGGAACCTCTGCATTCCTAGCATATCACAGTGTTCAGAGTTCCATTAGTCAAAATGCATTTAAAAATATTCCTCTGCAAGTCTTTCTCCATCTTTAGTTCTGAAATATTCAAACTTAATTATAGAAAGGTTCTAACATAACTAAGAAATGTAGAATCATCAGAAGTATGGAGTGGCTTCAGTAATTAGGATTGTGACTTTTAGTTTTGGAAGAGAGATTTCTAAAGAATACAACAATGATTTATAAGAATCATGAGTGCTGCTAAGGAAATGAACAAGGAATTTTAATCACTCTGCCTCATAGTACAAGGTAATAGAACAGGTTTAAAGCAAGAGCACTTCCTTCAAAATCTCAAAGACAACATGGAGGCCAAGTTATCAAATGTGTCACAAACAATTGAGACTACCGTCAGGATTTAGTCTTTTACTGGATATTAATCGGAGTGGTCTGCTACAAGCCTCTAACTTGTAACTCCCTGGTGCTGGGAATTCTAAGTCCGTAACTATTTGATTCTACACTCCATCCTAAGCATCTGCTACTGCCCCCTGCCAAAGACAGGAGACCAAGCCAAATGGACCTCTGGGCTCAACTACTACGGAAGCTTTTAGACCTTTACATAAAACAAACAAACAAACAAAAAACTGGTGAAACTCTAACAAGGTTTAAGGACAAAAAATAGTTCTTTTAATATATAAACATTTTGTAGTAATTTTAATGCAATATTTTTGCAGATCTCCAAATGTAACTTAATTATCAAACATCACAATGAAAACCTCTATTTTTAGTAGCATACTCATATTTAGGAGGGAGCTAAGATTGTATTTCAAGATAGACCACAGTGGCAGTGCATTTTGGAAAGAGTTAGTAGTAGAACATAAGATTTTTTTCTTCTGAAGCCTCTAGTTATACAAACTGATTTTGTCCCAAGCATTCACAGATCTCAAACAGCTGGTGATTGGAGAAGTAAGAGCCCCACATATTTTAAAGTAGATGTAGTGCTGGTGAAGAGAGTCTGACAGCCACTAAAACTGACCATTTTCTTATACAAAACCAGTTAATTTTAGTAAACAGGATTTCTTGCACTTCTCAGAAAATTGTAGCATGATTTCGCACTTGAAGTCACAACACAGGAATAAATGTATCCTTGAAGCTTTTTACATTCATATCATTCTGAATCCTTTACAGGATAGTCTAAATACAGCGTGGATGCTGGTTAACCAGGAATTCCCCAAAGTCACCAAAAGACCATGTGAAAGCAGTGACTGGGCACAATCTAGTGGCTGATTCCATCTACCCATGAGCAAGTCACAGCTCCCTGGCCCTCTGGAAATTACCTTTGTAACTGATGGAAGTGCAGATAGCCAGGTCTTCTTCTTCAGTAATTGTGGAAACCCCACAGCTTTCCTCAGGTAGCGATCATGTATTTCACAGGTGCTGAGAATATACAGAGCACATGCAATGGCATAGCCTCCCCAGTTAGAGACACCTGCAAAAGAAAGTCACCATGAAACTGAAGTGTTAAAAAAAATAAATGACAGTTATTGCAAACATACCTAACCTTCAGTAAGTCATAGGGCACTTACAGATGAGTCACGCAGTGATTCTGAAATGGAACTGGGATATGAATTAACTGTTGACATCAATTTGGAACTTTTAGAAATATACAATTCCTTAAGATATTAAAATATTTTTATTAGTATTTCAGATTAAATTTCTGCAGGTTTCCCTTACTATGAAATCCATGAACTTTTGAAGAACTATGTAATAGCCTGGTGTCTTTTGCTGTTGATGATACAGAGGTAGGAGATTTTTGATATCCTAAACCAAGTAGATTTTCACTGAAGTCAGATTTTATGCTAGAACGCTGTACCATTCTAGAGAGTCCCTTTTTGGTCACAGATGATGACGGATTAAAGGGTTCAGTTACTTTATCAGATATGAAGTTCAGGTGAAATTAATTGTGTCTCAATGATGTGTCCTTTGTTTAAGTATTGTATACAGAAAGACGTTCTAATGTAGTTAATATCCATGAATTGTCTGCATGCTGTGACTAAATCACTCCGCACACTCTTGTTTGACCGCTTCTTTGTCAAGGCTATATTGGAGAATGTTAGATTTGAAACTTGCTGTGGGAAGTTATCTCTGCTGCCTGGCACCTTTACCAGAGATGTAGAACAGACAGATTTTCTAAAGTGTGGAGGTTGTTTCAGTGCATGTAATTTTCCACACAAACGTCTAAATATTCCCCTCACTTGCCTGTGCAGGGTCTGGGTGTGACAGTTGCTTTCAAGGTAAAAATCACCAGATTTTCCAAAACAGTGACTGTAAGTAACATGTAGATTAAGTCATAAGAATTAGATATAATTATCACCACAATCCCATTTCTTCCCTCAAAATTGCTGTTCTAGTATCAGCAGTGTTAGAAACACAGTTGCTCTAACTTAGGTTAGAAACTTGAGCTCGAGTACAATATGGCCCATTCACTTCATAAATTGGTCATTGCTGAGCTAATCTCGCAATAAATTATATTTAATGCTTGTTAAGATGTTACAGTAGAAGAGAATTTTGAGCTATAACATCCAACTTATGTTGTATATTAAGAATGTACTTATGTGTTGGAGTGGCTGCTGAAAGAATTTATCATCTCATCTAAGTGCAATATGGCTGATTTAGGCCTGACAGGGTCACACCCACAGAATTTTATCAGTTATACTGAAAATTCATATGTGCATAGACTATTAAAAAAAATCCCAGATAGATCACTTCTGCAGTCTTCCCTGTTTTATTTACTGTGTGATTTTTTCAAGATTATTCAGGATTTGCCCAACTGTTTCCGATGAAATGCTCTTTTTTGACAGAGCATCCTCAACTTTCAGTCATTCCTGCTAGAACAGTAGAATCTTAATTATTCAAGTAATGGACAAAATACAGAGACAGGTTTGTTAGTGATGACTTGATCATACAATGAAAGGGCCAATATAAATTAGTTGGAAAGTCAGGTGTTTCCTTTTCAGTTCTCTTTGCAACATCAACTTTCCCACACCCCAATATTCCCTTACCAGCTACAATGGTAAAATCAGCTTCAACATCACAGGCTATAGTATCTCCATTTTTTATGTGCTTCTTTACAGCTTCTTTTACTTTGCCCATTCCTAATTCATTTCCTCCATCTCCAACACCTTTATTAAAAAAGAGATCAAATGAGTATGAAGCCAGCATATAGCTAACAATCCATTTATAAAGCAGTCACTGTCTTTCCCAAGTCTCTGTGACAGTTCATAGCTCCAAATGAGATGATTTGTATTTTCATCAGAAGTATCTATAAACATAAGATCATGAAAGAAATGCCGAAAGCATCACATTACCACATGCTAACCTGTAAGTGTATATACAGTGCGTGCTGTACTGGTGCAGGTAAAAGAAAACAAAATTATCAAGCATTCAGGAACTGCAGACAGAACTAAAGACAGTAAACTTAAACAAGTGTTCTACATAATTAATTATCACAAGTAAATTAGTACAGATAAAGAAAGAAGATAGAAAATAAATACAAAATAAACTTGAAAAAATAGCCTACAATTCTACAGCAAATCAAACAGAGAAAAGTTAGTCTTGCTATGAGCTTTAAGAGAAAAAAAAAAGAGAGAGAGATGAAAAGTAGTAACTATTGCAGAAAGATATGGAAGAAAATATATAGTTATTTTCAAAAAGAATGACTTACTGCACTGGCAATGTATACAAAGAGCTCAATGCTGTGTAACATTACCTTTTTTTAAAAAAAAATATATGAAAAAAATAGCATTTTGTTTAAAGTGTTTGTATATTCAGAGGGTGAAATCTCAAATTTTGTTGGTCAAGTAGAAATGCTGTATATTTGTCTGCCAGAAATCAAGAACATCAATGACTTCAGTAAAATCAATGAGACCTATGTTATTTCAGAAACGTTCTGGGCAACATTATATTTGGAACATTAGATTGTAAGGTGTCACTCAGAAACCTGGAGATCAAGATAACGCAAACTATCAACTTAATAACTTCCTTTAGTCTCTTACCAGTATATAAAAAAAAAAAAAGTCAAAAATAAATCCAATTATTTAAATGGAAATTTAAATTCTCTTTTACCTGTTAGTTTAAATTGCTTCTTCTCAAGTTTATCCTAGTTAATGTTTGTGAAAAAGAACATCAATTTCTAGCACAGTGAAGAGCTCCAAATCCTTACTGTAATGTATGGCATTTGAATTTGAAATAAGGCTGTTCTGCATAGTATGTGTTACAAAAATTACAGAGAGAAATTACAGTATTTATAATTTACACTTTAAGTGATGAAAATTGATAAATTTAACATGTTTACTAACTGCATAAATGTCTCACATAACTCTATAATAAACTTCTTATGTAAGTGAAATTCAAAGTTATTTCTCAGCAGCAGTTTCGTATTTAGATCCCAAAGTCTGTACAGTCAAGGTGAGCGTAACAGAGTGACACACAACCAAATGACTGAAAAGGATTTTCATGGCTAAACCTAAAGCAACTTTTTTTTTTTTTACAAAACAGGCATAATCTGTTGGCAAACATGTAGAGCTTGACACATATTTTTCATGAGTGCTTATTGTTTTGCCATGAAACAGATAAACTTTTTTTTTGCTTAGAATTCTCTGCTTTAATAAACTGCTCATGTTTATTTCAGTGTTGGGATTTAATGGTGCCTTCTAAAATCTGTTTTGTTGATAGTAAGTTTCATGTAGCTAATGACATAATCATGGTGCACCATTCGTCATATATAAATATGGCAGTTATTACTGTTTTGTAAGAATCCGTGTTTTGATATTTTGGTATATTCAAAATTCTGCTCTTGATCTTTAAAGGGGTTAAAACGAACTCTGTCTTTAAGGACAATCAACAGTTTCTTTAGCAGTGAAAGATAACATTGGTTAACAGTTGGTAGATCTACTGCTTTGGATGGAACCCATTTGCATTTCACTGGGAAGAAAACATCACATCTTTCCACATCGAACAATTTCATGCACCATCTGTTTTCTTCTTCCTCTACACTTTTACAGAAGACAACACTTTCTTATAGGTTTTCCAGAGTGAGATTCACCTGACAAAACAGTTGTGTACATATGAGCTAGTCAGTTAGACTTCTTTGAAAGTCAGCAGAGAGACACGGACCCTTCAAACATTCATCTCATCCCACTGCAGAAATCTCAAATGCACGTCTGAAAATAGAAAAGGAGAAATTTCTTCTCCTAAAGGCCTGAGTGCTTTACAGGCAGAGGAAATACAGTTTTGTCATATCTTCTGCGTAAGCTTTCGCTGACTACATTAGTTTCTGAAACTGAATTCCTGAAAAATGCAGAAAATGCCAGTCTTCTGTACTAAAAATCATTTGTGTGAAAGGGAAATTGAATGTGATTTTTTTTTTTAATGCAGGTCTTCAAAAAGCATATATAATTATGTCAATTGTATGACAGCTGAGAAAATTATCACGTGGTTTTGGTAACATCTCAATCTTTTATTTCAACTTTTTGTGGAAATGACTCCTTCCACCTTCACTGTTTCATGTCTTCTTATTTTGTATATTCCTGAAAGTCTCTGCTTTGTATATTCCTGAAGGTTGCACTTAAAATCACATTTTTTATGATATTACTCCATGAAATTGTAGGCATTGTTCATGATTTGTCTGTGGTCAGACTCATACATCAGATTTATTTAAACTTCTACTTTTCAATGAAAAATCTGACAATTAATCAACACGTAACATACGTTCTACTCTTTCCCTTCTCTACCTACTGACACAGTGCAAAGACTTCTGCAATACCGAAAACTCTTTTTAGTATCCATTTCTAGTATACAAAGTTATCCAAGTTAACTTAAAATCAGGGATAAGGTAATTGAAATTAACTGCAGCAGATAAAGTTCTCAGGCATTTTGCTCAACATCTTTATGAAAGACATTATTCTATCCTTATTCAGTCAAATCTTCAGCTTCTCTGCTGATTGCCAACAGAGTGCCATCTAGAGTGCTTCTTTTTGAACATTGAATGTTAATCCTTAGGAACAGGGCAAATATTTTCATTAAATCTGAGTAAAATGTATTGCAAATTTTAAGATGGTATAAAAAATACCTGTGAACTCTACTGCTACACAGCTTTTAAATAAGATTCCAATACACTGCGACCAGACTATGCATTATCCCTGCAGGAGTGCTCTACACTCTCTGGAAACATATGAAAGACATCATTGTTAAGAAGTCAGAGTTTCAGTGCCTTTGGTGATACTTAGGAGTGAGTCCACAGCACAGCAAAAAGTAAAAAGGCCAGACCAGCAACCATGTTCTAAAGTGACTGAAATCAGCCTGGCATGGACAATTATGTCTAATTTTATTTCAAATGTTTATACAGATCCCGTATCTCCTAACTCCATTTTGGGCCACACAATGCAGCAGGATGCATTTGTTTATACAAGAACTTTATACAACACTTCATATATATATACACCCAGGAATCCTTGATCTTTGGCATATTCTTACAAAGCCAGATACAACTAGGGTTTTTGGAAGGAAAAAAAAAAAAAAAAAAAAAAAAAGGACTATTGACAAAAGAGAGGAGCACTGTGTTGACAAAAGATCTTTAGATTTATTAGTTGATGCTAATGTAGTTTTGGTAGGAAGGACAACGTACTCTTTTAAGGATCATTTTTTTATGCTCACGTTTTCTTAGAGAAGGGCCTATTATACTAGATGCAGCTATGATATCCCTGCTCAAGAGAATCTATCATCAATTGCAACATAAGTGAATGTTCTGTCCAGACTGCTCTTTTAATGCAGGTATAACAACCATAAAAATGACTGCAATACTTCTATGCTGCCTTTCACATGCAAAATACAGAATGTACAGATGTCACTGTCAAAACCTACACTTAGGGGAGCATATGTACGCACACTCACATATAGATAATATACACATCAGAGCTTAAGTATTTGTCTTTAAATAACTTTGAATTCAACTCCTCCATAATTTTTTTTTGGATGTGAGCACCCTTTCATAAAAATCTGTAATTTTTCACTAGCGACTCTCCCTTTAAATTCAACCAAGAGAAACAGCTGTAGTCCTCAAGCAATTACTCAGCACCTGCCTCCTGATCTGCAGCACTTCCAATAAGTAAGAGTTCCTGTTTTATGCTTTTCTTGCTTTTGAGACCATAATGCAGTCATACCTGTTGTTGTGACTCCTGGAATGGTTTGTGCAGCTAAAAATAGGTCATCTATGGGATCCACTAGATTTTTAATATTAACTTTCCTGGCATTGTAGTAGTTGCCATCAGCAGCCATTCCAGCACGCTCTATTGCTATCAGGTGATCAAATCTGGTTAGAGACAGAGTAAAAGAACAGAAGAATGGAGTCAAATCTTTGATTCTCACCTATAATAGTTTTGTGTTGGGTACTTCTCCTGTTGTACTTGGTTCTACTCTTTGAGTATTTGTGATGTAAGGTAAAACTTGAATACTGAATTGTTGTTTCTACTTGCAGTTCTCCATAGTTCTTTTTCAAAGGTTAGTCTAGTTTCTTTATAGCTTTAGTGCAACTTCATCAAACCACATTTGCCACCAACAAATAGAGAAGTTCCTGATATCTTCCTAAGCAGTAATACTTTGGATCAGCCATCTGGGCTTGCTCTTTTTCGTGTTAAACTATATAATATCTCACAATATAAATCTTGTGTTTTCAAGCAGAACAAAAAAGTGTCTACTTAATGATGATGTAAGTCCTTGTTGGTGTAAATGTAGTCTCTGCTTAAATAATATTGTTTGGAAAATGTTCACTTGCATCTAGTTAGGGAGTTTTTTGGTTTGGATCTTCAGATCTTGGGGCTGTGGATTTGAGAGATTTTTTTTATTTTTAAAGTCCTTGCTTGTTTTGCTAGCTACAAAAGTACACAGATGTACTGCAGATGTCCAATGCTTTAAGCAGAATTTTAGTACTCAGTTCTGCCACTGTATGTTAGAATTAAGTTATTTTTCTTTCATTTCTCCAGTTTTGCTGTCAAGAGGTTACTAATTCTGTTGAATTACTTCATGTTTTTGTGTGTGGGTATCTACAGTGACTCAGGAGACCTCAAACAGTGTAGTTGTCTACTTTAAAAAAACACTTACTTTAGCTTATTGGAATTGTGGGATCAATTGAAACAGAAACTGGCTGTAATTGAATGATGCATAGCTATAAAAAATGCTTTTAAAACAGTACATAAAAACTCAAGACGGTATCATGCTGAACTTAGAGCATACGCCAACCAATACATTGGTGAAGCAAATACCGGAGTGAAAGATCTTTTTATTAAGAAGAACAAATGGAAGGCAACAGCATTGAAACGCTGTACAGGGAAAGATCAATAAAAATGAACAATATATGCCTATTTAAAGGAAACGTAAGTTGCTTACTAAGTAATGAAATGTATTCTTCAGTGCTTTAACCATAATCATGCGCTTGTATAAACCTGAATTTCTGCACAACATTTTACACTGGACACCACGTATGCAAACTATTTAAATCAATATTCAGAAGTGCATGCATACTTCTATAACTTTGGTTTTGTCTGCCTAAAGACAATAGGACAATCACTTTTGCAGTATTAGTAAATCTCAACTGTTTTTAAGTCAGATCCAATTTCCCAGTTGTCAAACATGAGCCAAAGCTGTAGAAAGCAAACAAATTCTTTTCCCAGCTCCTTAACTGACTCTACCTCTCTGCATCCTAATATTTATGCTGATTTAAAAACTGGGAAAAAATATATATATTATGCAATGTATATGCATATTGCTGTGGAATAACAGCTGAAAAGCTTTTAGATTTTTTTGAAGAAAAAGAGCTATTGATATGTGAAGTATCAATTCTTTTTGTACCCCAGAAGTGCATACTCTTAGAATAACATGGAATTCTGTATGTGTGCTATAATACCAATATTCTGCTTCAAAGTTTGTTCCGCTAATTCCCATTCTTAAGGATTTACTTGCAAGCATTACACCTTCTTAAGTCACAATTATTTATAACACTATGCAGTAGAAGTGTGACCCATTCTCAAAAATTGAATAAATGTACCTAGGTCTTCTGCGATTCCCATTCTCACACAAAAACCTCAAAGCTGAATCAGCATTTTCCCTTTGATAACTCAGTAGAGGGACAGGTCTCTTCAGGATTCCTAGAGGAAAATAAAATACAATTCAGATACTATGTACCATTTTTTTTTGGTGTGTGTTTCAGTGATTATTTTTTTTCCTAGGTAGAATAGTTAGAATATTCAGGCCTCAGTGGGTTTACACAGTTCCTGATAAGCTCCCTGCATCCTTGCTTTTAATGAAATTCATTTAGTTGTTAGTACTGATAAAGGGGACCTTGGGATAGAAAACAGGTCTACTAGAATAAGAACAGGCATCCAGAATTCATCACGAACGGCTAACCCAGATGCACAAACATTAACTTGGTGCCAGCCTCATTTAACAAAACATAACAATGCTAATCAGAGGTTCAGGATGAATGGCGTGTTCATTCTCTGAAAGAAAAAAAAAATCTGTAGTAAGTTACAATGAGAATACCTGAAGTGAACCTTGGCTCAAACTAGGAAGATAAAACTGGAAAAATGTATGTCTTACCTAGTTGAACAGCATCGTCAATAATCTTTTTATTCAGATCCATGGCTCTCTGATCTGTTACTATAGCAACATCTTTCTCCAAGGCCTGCAGCATGGCCGCGATGGCGAGGGCTCCAGGGGGCCCATCATTTTCTTCTGGTGGCTCGTAAGAGAAGTGGGTAGGAAATCCAGTTGTTATCAACACTGACCGAGCATGGGAGATAGCCAGGCAAGCCTTCAGCAGCTCATCCGGGCGGTGTAAATGAATTATACCCCGATCTCCTACAAAAGTATTTTTAAAGATATATATTTTTAAGAGAATGGTATACTTCAGTACGTTGTTCTCCTTTTGAAGTTTCTGTTTGGGTGAATCTGCGTACTTTAATGACATAATACGGGTAAAAATAATACAATAAAAAGAAAAACCTCTGGTCAAGACAGGAACTGGGCTAATTTCCTCAGGAAACCTAGGAAGGTGTAGGATATGAGTAATGAAAATAACGAGCTGTGTTTCCAGGTTAAGAATTCTGGTTAACTGGGTTTTGAAAATTACTATGCTAGGGTTTCTAGGTATTGGTGTAAGTTGCGTGTTTTTTTCTTTCTTCCTAAGAACCCATTGAATATCAACTCCCTTCCTTCCATCCTCTGCTTTCCTCTGATCTGTGGTTACAGTTGTGCCAGACAGTGTCTAACTACTAAACTATTTGCTTTATTACTAAAGCTAGCTTGCTACTCAGGCTTCCCCCATTTTATGGAAGATTCAATGCAGACCTCAGTTGAGTAAGCTGGTCCTTTGACTCTGCTTAACACTGTCCCTTTAGGAAAGAGCTAATTTCCAAATAAATTCAACTTACTTCTGTGGTTGATAATTTTATTGAGGGCTCAGATACACTGTGAGTTATGGGGGACTTGATAAACTCAATTACTACATTGGTATCTAGGCAATTACTAAAAGATCTTCCTGTTACATGTTATTTGACCTTGAGAAATAGGTGAATATTAGTAGATCTCTTGGGTCAGTCCCTACAGAGGCAACTCTGCCTATCTGTTTAAGTCTTTTATTATTGCAATATTTCCTATTCCCTCTCCTTTTCCCGACACTCAGAAACACAAGTGTGCAATGCAGTTCTTTAGATTTGCTCGCATTCCTGAAAACCATGGATACCAGCATGATGTGCTGATAATCATGGGCTGAAAGTGAGAGGCAAGTCCTCACTATTGTTTTCTAGTCTCCTTGTATCTTAATCTTTCTCACCTTTTTTCCCTCCTTTCCTGTTGTTGAACCAAGTTTCCTCTTTGTCTTTTTCTCACCATTCCTCCTACACAACATACAGGCAATATATAATTTATAGATAGTGGACAAAGAAAAAAAGTTCTCAACAAAACTCAAGTAACAGAAGCAGGGTATATTAGTCTTTGAAAAGTGGAGCGTATCAACTGAGATGAAGTACTACAGTAATGCAGCTACTCTCTTTTAGCAATAAAATGAGCTAACTCTGAAGTTAGGTCCGGTATTTCTGCAGAGCATGGCATTGTGCCATGCTGAACTGCAGAGAGTGGATAAAAGGAAAGGCCTTGTAAGTAAAAATAAACAGACCCAAACATAAGCACACAGCCCAAACCCTGAGCTTGGAAGAGCTGAGCATTAGCTGTTTTCCACTACTGCCTGTAAAAGATTTCAAAAAATTTATAGGAAAGTGAGATCAAAATTTACAGCAGACAGAGGGGAGTAACTCAATGTGCACTTTGGAAATAGTTGTGTTATTCTGTCTGTCTTTTGCTCCTGTATCCTCTTATTTCCATCTCTTCTCTCTTGTGCATGTACACAACCATACCTCTCAACCTTCTGAGAGGTATGTGATCAGGTCACTTTGGTCCATCACACAACACCTCAGCATCAAGTATGTCAGCAGAGCTTGATGTAGTTCCACCCATCAGAGAGGGATGTTTGAAAAACACATACAACTACTGGAATATCCCAGTAAGAAAATAGCAGTCATGAATATATGTAAAGAAATGTACTATTTACTCAACAGTGAATACTTACATAGCTCTTACTGCATGCTGAGGTGCCCTGCACTTATCAATTTCAGATTTATTCAGCAACAGTGCTTATTCCCTGTGGATGCTCCAGTCTGCTGTAAACAGTGAAGCTTCTGTGTATTTTGAAAGAATGCAGTAATCACATTTAAATATGTTCCGTTACCCATAAGGTTGAATGATTTTGGTCAAACTCTGATATTACATATAGTAATGAAAACAACACAAAACTAGTTACATTAACTCACAGTAATGCACAAATATTTTTTTTAAATCTTAAAATTGCCTTTAGGTTTTTATTGCATTCCTGAATTTTGTGGGCATCTATACAAGCACAATAGATATCATAGCAAATCCACTCAAGTAAGAGGTTTTTTGTTTGATTGATTGTTTTTACCTGGGTCTATTCCGATTAAGTTCTCCAGATTCTTTATCTTTTGTGTTGCTTCTGCTGACACCATACTATAATGCAAAGGATCTTGTGAAATGCAGTAGACTTGTGGGACTTCACTTGAGGACCCGACTGTAACACTGTCATTCTTTAGGTCAGTGATGAACATGCAGCCAGGAGAATGAGTAAAAGCTAATGGAGATCCTAAAACAGGCGAAAAAGATTCAATTAAACACGTTGTTATTGTGTTATATTGAAATACCAGAATGATAAAATCTTGAGAAGCAATTTAACAACACAGAGTCCCTGCCTGATGACACTTACAAAACAGGTGATATTTTAAGATACACTGCAGCAATAAATATACTTTGAGGAAAGAAATGTATGCATATACATCTGAAAATGTTTACACTTCTGAAAAGCTCATGTGGGTAGTTGAGAGCAGGTTTTTTTACACTATCCTCTTTAGTATAAGCTTCAGGCAATTTAGGAACTGAACGGTGGTACCCTTCAAGAAATTCAGTCAGGAATTGGCAAGTCTGAAAACTGGGTTTGACATGCATGAAAAAAACTAAGAACAAGTTAACACTGAAGTTTGCACAGGATGTTGGTGATACTGTTTCTGTAAAAATAAATTGTCTAGATTCTAAACTGCTGCAGGAAGCTACAGTGTCTCTCTACCTTTGAATACAAATTTAATAGTGATATGGAAAAGCTGTGACAACTCCCTGCTGACAAGTAGTTGTCCTGTATCAGATTAAAAAAATGGGGAGGTTTAATATGCCTCACCAAACCATGTGTATAGACAATAATTTTGAGGAGCTAGCAGATGGATCTAAAGTACAGGTACTGCTGCTATGGCAGGATTTTAACTACCTAGCTGAGAGGGGAGCACAGCAAGATACAAACTGTAAAAGAGCTTTTGGAATCCATTACTGACAACTGTTTTTAATACAAGAAATGAAAAAATAAACAGAAGTAAGAATCAGTTCCAGGCCAAGGCGTGATAGATAGCTGCTTAGGCAACAGAGGCTGGTAATTTTTTCCTCCTTTCTCCTTTCATGCATCCTGCATCACAGGGAAAACTGCTAGGGAACACAGGAGAGAGGGTAGGCTTTTCACCTTGGATTTTGGAGTGGAGAACAGGGGTTGTATGTAAGAACAAAATGACAACAACAAAAAAGCCTCTGTTCCTAGTGCTGAATGTATTTACAACACTTGCTGAGACCAGTCAGATAACCAACTGTAGGGTACCACAAGGGTTTTGCAGATCCTGCAGGGAAAGCAGGATGAAATGGATGACTTCCCAGGGCTCTCCCAGTTATACTGTCTATCACTATTAAGCTTTTTTTTCTAACTAAAAATTTGAGGTTTCCTTCCACACTTGTGATTTAGAGCAATATATAACACTGTCACTATGGTTTAGTTGCATTTTCTTGCCCTTTGAATGCATGCCTCTAATAAGTGAGTGGATAAAGTGCAGGATCACAACTCTTTACAGAGGACAAGGATTCCATTATATAAAGTGTGTCACATTTACTTCATTTTGGAACAAAAACTAAAAGTTAAAAGTTCTTCACAAGACAATTACAAAGTCCTTTCCAGGTCAATCAGTTTGCTAGTTCTTGACAAGATGGAAAGATATCTGGCTGCTTTTTTTGGCTTTCCCTTTTACTATTGTTTTTCTGCACTGTGGTACAAAATAATACTTCAAAAGTTTAAAAAAGAAAACTTTTAAGTTCCTAGTTTTTAGTGATGCTCAAAAATGATGTTTTGATGCTGTCAGAGCTTTAGGTTTCTGACATTTCACAATGGAAAATAGTCCTATTAAAGGTGTTGTTTTTTTTTTGTTTTTGTTTTGTTTTTGTTTTTATTGCTTGGCTGGGGCTTTTTTAGCTGACCCTAGGGCTCTGCAACGCAAATCAAGCCTATCAGACAACTCATCCAGTCCACTTATTAAAAAAATAAATAAAAAAGAGAAAGAAAAAGAGATTGAAGGATGATCTTAAAGTTTCCAAAGACTGTACATACTGCAGTTGATGACTGCTTCTACTCCTGTTACACCACAGGCCCAAAACACCGGAATATCACCAGGGTGAAGGTGAACTGGATCTCCATAGTCTGGTTTGGAAAGATCTTGTATTCCCAACAGACCTGTCATTGATCAACAATAAACCCATCACAGATTTCAGTCAAGCAGCAATATTACAAAAGGTGGGAGGGGACATCAAACATCATCAAGCAACACAGCTAGAATTACAACAGTGGCAAATCCCACTACTGAAGTGGCATATTTAGTTTGCTTTCAGTGCATGTCCCCAGATCCTGAGCTGTCTTGTTTTCCCTTTATCTGTGTGACATCAATAAACATGTATTCACTTTATTTCTGCAGCAAAGTACAAACTAGATGTGTATGCCGAGTTCCCAAGATATTATAAATCTTATCTATCAACAAAATAATTATATTATTTTTTGCACTGGTAGACAAGAACAAATAACTGCAATGCAAAATGGGTTGTTTCTAGAACACATTTTCTGCTACTTTAGCTTCCTATCTTCTCTAGCTAAAGAAATAAGGAGTTTTTTACCTCTCTGGCTTAGGTAATTACATCTCACTCTTAGCCAGCTTTCATTAAATTGTCTTTTGCTTTAACAAAGCAAACACCTACTTCTTTTCTGGGTCATTCTAAGCACTTGCTCTCTTCCCCTTGCTTTTAAATTCCTGAGATGCTAAAGTTTACCACTGTCTTTTCTGGAATTAGTTTATACAATCTGTACATATATTCATTTACTCTTTTCTGTTAAAAATTAACACATAATGTATTCCTTCACTTTCCCAATCTCTACCCGAAGTAATGATTTATTACTCATTCCTCAGATTTAACCACTTGGACCAAATATATTACTGGGTTGTACTGTTACCAATGACATGTCTTTCCATACTCTGCAACGTGATCAGGCTGTGTACACAGCTCTTGAGACTACTGATTGACTGACAAATTTCTGACAGCAGAGGGGATTTTTTTTATAGTGATCTATCTCCATCCTATAGGTGGTCTATATCTTCCTTCCCTCCTTCCTTTTCCCCAAACAGCCTCCTGTTTATCTTTTTTGTTTTCAATCTTTCCTTGCAAAGAATAGGCCTGGACTTGTTCGAGCTGTTTAAAAAAAAAAAAAAAAAAGTCATATTTCTATTTATTCTGTCTTAAGTGTTTTGCTCAATGTATCTTATTTCAGTATTTTTAAAACATAATATGGTATTTTCTTTCACAGTCATCCATGAAGACACAAAATGCCTCCACACATACTTTTCCCCATGCTGTCAGTCACTGCTACCCTGTTGCTGGGATCTTTGACAACAAGAAAGTATTCACACATAAATGAAACTGCATACATTTTAGGAGGATATGATTACATGTTTTAGCAAAACTGTTTTTGCCATATAACTGCCTTTATCCATGAATTCTGTGTTTTGTTCATTCAAACCTATCTCCCCAGCCCGACTTCAATTCAGGTTTGTGACCATTAGAAAGGATTAAAACATAAAAAAGGCAGTGCAAGTATTTTATTCCTACCACTTCTCATGGCTCCCCCTTCAGCCATTTTTATTGACAATAAAGCATATGTAGAGTGAAACATGAAAAACACTGACCAGGGTCACCTATATGAATTGGTGCTCCATGAGCTTCTTTTAGTTCAGATGTTGCAAGCACAGCTGCTTCCAATTTGCTTTCAGGAATAGGTCTCATCGTGACTACTAAGTTGCAGCAAAAAGTAGAAATACTGTAGCATGGCACAGCTGTCTGTCAGTTTAAAAGAATCAAAAGTATTAGAAGAAATAAGCCACAATACTAGCATTAATTTTAAATCTTTTTTTTTTTTTTTCCAAAAAACACAAATTTTTCTTAGCATTTTTTTTTAATTCTTGCTTCAGCACATGCAGCATCCAGCATGGTGAGCTCAGTATATTCTGAATATTGTCAGAAAACAACCCTCTGCTCCCTATGTAGAAAGTGAAAAGCTAAAAAAAAGTATAGTGGTGACAAATCAGTTTGGTCTGAATCTATTATCTCTACTGGAATTCGGAGAAACCATGATGCTCTGCAATGTGCAAGAGTCAAGAACTGCTGCTGCTGCCAGTACCCTCTTCTAAAGAAGCAGCATGCCAGTTGTACACACACAACATCTTTTGTGCCTCTAGAAAGGATCTATGGAATTCATCAACTTTTCTGACTAGGATGCTGAAATCCTTTTTCTATTCAGAAATAAAGCAGCCTTGCTTTTTAGAACAGAAAGTCTGAGATGTAAATTGCATTTGAACATAAATGAGACGTAGACAGCAAGAGCTGCATAGGCAATGTTTATACTTTTTTTGTTATATCTGTCACCAAAGAAACGCACTGTACATGTCTTTGAAATACAGATGAAATTCTCCTAAGTCTAAAATGTCATAATCAGGTATATAATTGTAACTTTTTTCTTTAAGCTTCATAGGTCTCACATAAAACACATTTGTTTCTTTAGTTTGACCAGCAGTACAGCAAAATATTGTTAAATGATAACATTAAATAGAATAGTAACCTTTGTTTACCAGAACAGCATACTAATTGTGTGAAAAAGGCATGCAGATGCACTTAAATGTTCTTAATATTAAAGTGTCTACCTAGCAGAGTCAGGCTTATACTAGGACTTCTGCCCACATTAAAATCTGTGCTATACATCTACATCTTCTGATCACAGTTATAATTTTCGGTGCTATGGTAGACACCTCAGCTTTTTAGGAACACCTGTCCCAGAGGCCTGGGTTTCTAGCAAATGTGGAGTTTAAAGGCTGTACAGTCATAGGAGAAATCCAAGCTGTGACTGTCATATATGCAGAGCAAACTGCTAATGCTAGTTAGGCATTGGGACGGGTTGCCCAGGGAGGTGGTGGAGTCACCATCTCTGGGGGTGTTTACGGGAAGGTTGGACCAGGTGCTTAGGGATATGGTTTAGTGGGTGACATTGGTAGTAGGGTGGTGGTTGGACCAGATGATCTTGGAGGTCTTTTCCAAGCTTAATGATTCTATAATTGTACTGTCAAGGCTTATAAAAAGAATATTCTTAGTACAAGCTAGAACTGGTGTGGAGAGTGGGACATATATAAAGGTGATGATCAGAATAGCACATGCTTCATAAGCTGAAACAGAGAAGGAAACAAGCACCAAATCCAAATGAAATGGCTGCCATTGAACACATGAAAAAACTGCCACTGTAAACAAAAACAAAAAAAATTTAGCCTTGCAGGAAGTTGAGAAAAGCACTGACCTGATATTTTACCCTATATTTTCATGCACTGAGCACTACTACCTACCTAAAACTACTCTGCAAGTGGGAAAAAAAAGTTCTGATTTTGCACGATAGTTATATGGCCATAAGATGAATATGGACAAATATGGAAAAAGTTACAGCAAAGACTATATGTGTATCTACTTACCTTATACATGCTTACATTACATTCTTGTTCAACATTTCTTACAGGAATGCCAGCATTTTGGATTGCTTTTTCAAAAGAAAAGCTGCAGCCTAAATAGAAAGTCACCATGTCCTTAAGTTGTTCCGAATATTCCTTTAGACTTTTTACAGATCCAGTGAAGGCTCCATGCTCATACACTCTACACTGTGGGCAGTCAGTCCTAATGAAATAAGAAGTTATCACAGCTTTAACATGTGTTTGAAAACAAGGCACATGACCAGAATGATCTAAATTGACTTTAACCTACTATCAAACCACAAGATCCAGCCTACTTTGTCCATTTTGTTTCATTCTGAGTAACAATGAAAAAACACAGACAAAAACAAACACTTTATTCTAAACATAAACATCATTCTACACAGCAAACAGAACATGTGAGAGTATCTTTGTATTTTTCCTTGTATTTTTCAGGTTTTACAGGTAAATGTCCATTACATGTATCATGCCTCAATGATTCCAAAATTAGGGAGCTGTTTTAAGTTTTCTTTTTAGTATTTGCTAGAGAAGTACATCTTTTAAATTTCAGAGACCCTTAAAAATATAATGTGGTTACCTTGCCTAAACATAAGTAAATTAATTCTGTTCAGACTACAAAACTTCTACACAAAAATTCACTTTTACATTAGAGAAAAACTTGCATTATTGATAATTATGATAAGAAGTTTCTCAAGAACTAGATGATCAGGCTGATTCTACTCTTTTATACTCATGCACAGTTTTCATTCAAAGGTATAATTCCAAGAAAATAAACCTGTTCAAAATGTACAACAGTGAGAGCAGGTTATTCCCTGAAACTGGTTTCTCCTAATCACCATCAACACCCACTGCAGAATTTTGAGAAGCAGTCAGCCCGTACTTACCTGATATCAGAATCACTACTCAGAGAAGGACATTTCCAGTCACCTGGTTTGCTTCTGTACAGCAATGGCAGAGGTCCATTGTTTGCGTGACAGAACTTCTCAAAGTCATCAGCCAGGGACTTGTGCAAAATCACAATGTTAGCTTGTTTATAGCCTGAAATCGTGGAAGGTAGGAATGACTGCTTACTAATTCAGCTCCTTGTTTAAGAAACAAACTTTTCTGTATAGCTCTCTGTAAATGGTCCATAAAATTACCTGAAGGGAAATTTTATTTCAAAACTCTGTAATTGAATTAAAGAAATTTTAAAACTATTTTAAAAATTGTAGCCAGATGTACTCTGTATGTCAAGTAGTTCACAGCTAAAGTAGTAGGTAAACATGGAGAGTACTAGATTTTGAAGAATGCATAATTACTTTCCTAAACAATTCTATGAACTTACATATAAACAAAATTTATTCTATAACCTGAGAAAATAGTATTGTATAGGAAAATGTTTTACTTGTGCAAATGTCAGCACAGAGCCAAAAAAAGGGGGAGTGGGAGGGGGACTGTTACATACCACACTTTAACCATTTTTAAAGTTTAATGCTAAGTTATAAATCATGGCCAGTATAACAGAAAAATGCTGATATTTTGTCCTCATGTAGCCCATTCCTTGACTATATAATTTTACCTTGGGCTGCAATTTAATAGACAAGTTACAGCTCAGGAATAATCTCTTGCTTAGCACACTGAAACTCAGACATTTCTAATATTTCTAATTTAAAAAAACAAAATGAACAGAACTGCTACACTTTCTTCACTCATAATCAGCTTTTATTTAAAACCTTACTGACTGCTACCACAAAACAGGTTCTAAAGATATTAATATTTGTGCAGTGTGTATCAGTTTGTCTTGAAAATTTATTAAATACTGTGCCAGCTATCAGACAGGCAAGTAAGAGTCTGTGTAGAAGCTCCCACTTTCCTAAAGACTGTGGTAGTCTGAACTTGTGACTCTGGTAGTCATCCAAGAAGCAATCATTCAGTTGAAATCAATGATCTTCTTTAAAAGGCTGTAGAAATTGGCCAAATTTTACTTTTGACCAAAGCCAACCAAGAAACCAAAAGATAAAGCTATTCCTGATGGAAAAAATGTAAAGCAAAGGCTTAAACTGAGGTAAGCATGTATTTGCATATTGAATGTGCCCACAAACTGCTCTTTTGGGACCAGCCAGCACAAAAATGCAGTTTATTACTAACAAAAGTTACTAAATACAGAAATAGCTTCTTGCTAAATACAGAAATTCATTTTTGTTAAATAAACATACTAAATTTACCACTGAATAAAATACTACATTGAGTTACCCTTTAGCCTCATTCCCTGCTGCCCATGTGAAATCCACAGGCACTTTCTACTTTGCTGCTGATATTCAGATTCTTAACCTTATGGTTTTAGCCAGTGCATTCAACTTAGACAACGCTAAATTTAAAATACAAGTCACAGCTGACAGTCTGAATCTGTAGGCGACTTCCAAGCATACTGTAAACTCAGGAAGCTTCAGTAGTAACTCTTAGACAACTTTATTGCTACTCCTGATAACTATCCTTACTTTCTTTACAGATAAGTGTGTTGTTTTTTTTTTTTTCCCCTCTTCTTCCCATATAAGCTTAAGTGTATATTCACACGATGTATCCAATATCAGGAACATATTCTTGAGCAGTGTTAATGAAGCTGGAAATGCTGATCAACTATGGCATTAGTTCAACAAACTAATATCCCAATTCAGAGCAGTTTCGAAAGAGTTTTTAATGTATTTGCTGAATGACAATGAAGGCAATAAGAAATAGTTATTTTAGTAGTATGTCTGAATTTGTTTTGGAAGTAAACTATTTTTTTTCAAATGTAAAAGCTAACATGTTTAAAATCACTGCAGTAGCACATACATATACAAACACAGTTGGGGCAAACTGCAGGTTATTGATGTTGTAACGTGTTTTCCATTAGTAGTTTTCAGCTTACATACTGATAGAAAGTAAGACCATTATTTCAAGACTCACTATGATTCTATAATATGTGCCTTAATGTTCTTATATTAATGTTAGTAAACACAGCTTTGCTCATCAGCTGCTTGCCACAGTATTTTTCATTACATTGTTACATTTTAAAGTTGATCAGAACAACAACACAGGAATCTCTACTTCTGTAAAAGTTGAGCTATGAGAGAAGATAAAGATCAATTCTCCAGAGTGCATTCAGTTATCTTAGCATAGACCTATTCTTTCCCTCTCCATATAATTCTCAATCTTCCTGAGTAAGTAATTTCCAACTTCTGCAACAAACGAAGCAGGAAACTATTTTTGTGACTGTACTTCTCTAAGTCTTCCCCAACATGTATCCTATGCACTAAGTAAAGCAAGGTCTCTGTGAAGAACACAGTATGTGATCCTATAAATGTGATGATAGTGTGTGTAAGGAAAACCAGATTTAGGTAAAGATTTCTCAAACATTTTCTGCAACTATAATTTATCATTGACATAACTGGGAGCTGGAGGATACACGGCAGTTTTGAAAACAAAGTCCATGTAATTTACACACGTAAGATGAGTTCTCTGATGTAGTACTATGATTTAAGAACCCAGTGTCAGGTGCTTACAATGTGATTTCAAAAACACCCAAGTGAGTTAAGAATTTAAGTCAGCTTGACATTTACTTCTGCTTTACTTCAGCTCTTTTGATAGTCCTAAACTCCTTTATAAACAAAGAAAGAAAAAAGTAAGGACATAGTTATGAAACTAAAATGGAGTCATTTTCTACTTGAGCTGTTAGGTTTCCTTACCTTCTGCCATTCCAGAAGTATTACTGATACTGTGTCTGTTGCAACGAATTATTCTTCTTAGTACGTGGGGAAGGAGAGATTTCAAGCCTCCTGTCAAGAGCATCCTTTCAGCCTTAACAGAAAGATGTTATAATAATAAATTTATACACAAATACATATATACAACTTCCTTTCCCTTCCTTTCCCTTCCTTTCCCTTCCTTTCCCTTCCTTTCCCTTCCTTTCCCTTCCTTTCCCTTCCTTTCCCTTCCTTTCCCTTCCTTTCCCTTCCTTTCCCTTCCTTTCCCTTCCTTTCCCTTCCTTTCCCTTCCTTTCCCTTCCTTTCCCTTCCTTTCCCTTCCTTTCCCTTCCTTTCCCTTCCTTTCCCTTCCTTCTTTCTTTCTCTCAAGTGCTGGAAAACTTAATTTCAATTTATTCCTGATGCCCCACCAAGCTTATTATCACTGGGAAATCCTTAATTAAAACCCAAAAGGCAAATTAAAGTCAAAGGGCTGCTTCATTGACATTTTCTGATTAAACACAAACTGAATCTTTAGATAAATCAACCAGAGATGTGCATGTTAACATTCTGGATAAAATGCAATGTTTTGCTGGCCTGTAATACAAGAAACAGACTTCTTTTTCCCTGTTAAATATTTGTTTCCTAGCGTACTCACCCTTCCAAAATTTGCTATAAGTTTAAAATTGCAAAAACATAAATGGATTGATCTACCAAGCTACAATCTGTAATATCACGTCTGCTGAAAATGCTTTCAGACAATTAGCAATACAGCATTGTGGTAAAAGTAACTATAATCAGAAAATGTCATTTTGATACATTTCATATATATCATACTTTTCAACTACTCATTATGTAGAAATGATATACTGAAATTATAATGAGTACTCCTGTGGCTATTCTTCCACTGGGAAAACAGACATATAGAAGTCACTTCATACAATCTGGAGTAGAAATAGAGATAAGTACCCTAATTACAGTCAGTATCTGGCTCTTTTTACATCTCTTGAAGACTGAACACAACTTTTTTCTACAGTCTAATCAAAGTCAACAGAAAGCTTTTCCCTGAGCCTAAACTATCTAGAAGTGATTTATTATACAACTGCTAGGACTAAGTAAAATATAGTTCAGGGTAAAATAATAATTTGGCTCCTTATGATTTTAACCTTGATCACTTTTCATGGTCTAATTCAGAGATAACATATTTATCTAATCGTATGTTCATTCTAACTAAATAAACTGAATTACATTCCAAGCAACCAAATTACCAACCTCCAAGTTTTTCTTTAATTCAGAAGAAGCCATTCCTGATGTCAATTGTAAGAAGTAATAAACATTATAAAAACTATGCTGCTTTTTAAAAAGATGCCAATCAATTAATGTACAATGCAATGTTACAACCTTCTGGCAAAAGTTAACCTTTCTGTTAAAAATCAAAGTTTTCTGTTAAAGTTTTCTGTTGAACACAAAGTAAGAGCAGTAATATGTTTTGATGGAAATTATACTCTTATCATGGGTTGTCTGTCCAAAATGTCTCCCAAAGATTGCAGAATTCTGAGTGGTTACGTTGGGTGCACTGAAATTTAGAGTAAGCTCTGTATCTGGTCTTTGAAGCCTGTAATCCTTACTTCTAAAATGATTACATAACATTGCCAGCCAAAAGAAATCAGCTTACACATTTTTTTTCTGAACTCTAGCTTACTACTCTCCAACTCATCCCATCTTTTCTGCTTTTATATAACAGTCTATATGCTGCACAAAAAATAGTCTTCATTACAGAATTGTGAACAATTTCAAGCACATGCTTTAAAGATAACTAGAATTTGGATTGAGAAATGTGGCTAGACTCTAATCCAGGCCTATATGAGACAATTTAAGAAACATTATTTTTACTGCAAAGAAGAGTTTCTAGCACTACTCTGGAACGATTCATTCAACCACATGTATTCATGTGATTCTTTCAAATCGTTTTTCTTCCTGAGTATCTTTGAAATCATCTAATGGCCTTAAGAAGTACTAGCTTACTTGGATTTGAGAGACAGTCTGAAATTTGTGAATTTCATTTGGGATGAAAGCTATCTTCATTCAGGTACTTTATCCCAAATGCCCAAGAACGATGTTGGGCAAGCCTGATTTTCAATGCATAGAGTATATGTCCAGCAGAGGAAATGGCAGCACTTACGGAACTTTATTAGCAACATTTAGGCCTTTAAAAGTTTTAGGTTTATATGAAAGTAAGTGTTGAGCAAGCTCTAGTACTGCAAATATAAGTAGTGCCAAAATGCTGTCTCTTAAGTACCTTATGGAAACATTTGGGATTGTAGTTTCAATTTGTGAACACTGCCCCTAGCTGCAAAGCAAGATATATTGTTGATAAATTTGTTAGGAAGTGAATAATTTAAACATTACCTTTGTATAAAAGTAGGATGACTCATCTCTTTCAGATGAGAGACAAAACACGCCTTATAACCACTTGTTATCACTAAAGTTCAGTGGAGATTTTCTAAAACTCTCAGGAACATTCTATAGGATAAAGTTCTGAGTTACAACTTTAGATCACTGTATTTGCTATACAATGTTAGTAATAGATTATGTTGGTGTTTTTCTAGTCACTAAATTTGGACAGTCAATAAAAACTCTCAGATGATTATAGCAAAAAAGTAGCTTTTTGCTATTTGACTTCCTCAGGAATGGCTTATTTCTACACAGTATGTTGTTTCCCTATGCTAGGGGGCACCCTTAAGTTTAGATTCCCCAACCATCTCCAGGACATCCTGGAAAATCGTTAAAGACATCATGAGCATGGCTTGTTTGGGATGACAGGGGAAAAGTACCACAATAACTCAGGTCTTACAGAATCTTCTCCACCTTGACCCATCAGAATGACTAATGAAGTGTATGGACTGGCTTCATGAGGCATGGGAGTAGCCCTCTATCTAAATGGTCTGGTACAGCTGTTAATCAGTAGTCAAGATCTGTCCCCTGGCCTGTCTTTTTCAACTCCTTTTATTTTGTTTTAAGATAGTTTCAGATAACAGTATCAGCTATCTCATAGGAATATGCTGGATCATGATATGTGTAAGACAGGGTGTAGGATAAGTGTTAAAAAGTCCTTCAGAGAGGATGCTGACAGGGCCTATGAAATAGCCGTACATTTTGCAGATATTTAAATGAGATTATATTCATAATTATTCATTACCTGGGAAAATGGGAAGATGTCATTTAAGTGTCAGAAAGATTCCACTTTTAGATGTAGTGGGTGTGTCGATACTGCTGTGCTAAACTGCGTCAGATAAAAGTGAAAAAATCGATAATAACACAAAAGGATTAATATATCCTTCAGAAGTGTCAGTGTGACTGTTTTGTGGTTACAAGTGTCAAGCAAATTCATGAAATAAAATGAAAAACATAGTATTTCTGCAATTTAAAAAAATGGATCATCTGCGAACAAACAGCCTGTAAAATGTGCTGCTGCTAAGAGCAACAAACAAGTCAACTTGAATACTGGAAAGCAGTTAATACCAATCTCTGATGTTTTAGGTCTGTTTTTCCAGTGGTGTTGGTACACATAAGAATATAGTTTAATGCAGTGATTTTTTTTGAAGTCTAGAGACTTGCTTGCATATAGCCCAAAGTCTTTCGTGTGTGTATGTGTGTAATATAATCTTGCAGTTTATGTAACTTTTATCTTATTTTCAATTTAAAGTTCAATTAAAAGAATGGTTGGTGGCATGCATGGGTTCACTGGCCAAAAGAAGTGCAGAGGTCACTAGGTAACACTGTTGGGCAGGTGTTTTTTTTCCAGATATTGTCATGCAGGTAACTTACCCAAAGCTACTGCTGCGCTAACAGGAACAGCAGGGTAACTTGAAACATGAGCCAGCCCACAGGCTGCCTTTACTGATACATAATGGAAAGTAATCTAAACTAATTATAACCTATGAAAACCCTTTGTGTACTATGCTTGCCCTAGTATGAATATGGTTACAGAGGTTTGTTAACGTAAACAGGGCTTAAAAAGACCTGCTGCTTAATTATCAAGCTGATTTGAAATTCTGCCAAATGACTTCTGTGAAAAGTACAAACTTCTTTGAAAATTCACTCCACCTCATTTTCCAAACAGGTCTCACAGTTATACTTGTGATGCTTTATTTGAAGAATCCATTAATGATCCTTTTTGTCCCCATCTGCTTTGAATCATTTGAAAGCACAGAAGTGCTTTGTGTACAACTCCAAAGAGGAAGTGCTTTATATGTTTTCAGATAGTGGTTCATCTAGCAAATTAAGGTTGAACGCTACATTTGAAATACGGGGTATTTGGCTTTGAAATTTAGAAACCTTTAGATAAGGGTCATAAATAGATATCTAAGTTAGTTTCCATTAGTGTTCTCTGCTGCCTAAAGCACTTTGTTTATACTTGAGATCCTGCAGATTGCGTCAGGATAAAAAACTGGTAAAAGAACCAATGCATCTTTGAGGCAATCTTGTTTACTTGAGGAAAAAAAAAAAAAAAGACACGCAATGTTTAGTTTTTCCCAGTATAATATGAACAAGAAACAGAAAGCAATGACCAGTTGCAAAGCAGCCATTTCAGAGAGCACTCCATGTTAGTGTGACACATCTTGTACAGCACCTATCCCCTGAACTTTCACCACTACATTTATATTATTTTACACCCAGCTTCTGCTCAGGGACAAAATTGTTTCTGAAGTGGAGAAATCTGGGCAGAGATTTGTTCTTTAGAGACTAGAGAATAGTTCAAGCCCTGCCCTTGCATGGATAGAATCTATCCATGATTTGGGTTGTTTAGGCTTTTATATCCTCCTCAAAGGTGGGAGGCCTCATGGCCTCATATATCCTTCCAATCCCTTGGATCATATCCTAGTTCCTGCATACTTCCCCCATCATCTTACATAAACATATGACCAACAGGCTTTGGAACAGCCACCTCATTTATACACACCTTTAGCAAGATAAAATACACACGTAAGAAAATACAAGGGCCTTTATCAAGATTAAAAATACTGCTGTCATACCTTTGACTTTGCTGACAGGAATACTTAACCAGCTGCAGGAGGAAGAGACAGAAAATGATCTACCAGAGGTTATTTTAGTTTAAGATGACACAAACTGCTTATTCAATTTCAAGAAATTGAAAAACAAAACAAAACATAACCATCAGGCTGGCATGTAAATATAGTCTCCTGATCTACCCTGAGGTACTGAAAAGGCTTAAAATCGCTCTACAATTCTCTGGGCTGAGTCTAGTCACCATTTTTTTTTACCTGGGCCTCTTCAAGCACTGAAGCAGCTTGAGGATGCAGGAGGGCCTTGCTTGCTGGCCATCAGTGCCAGACTTTTCCCCCTGCTTTTCTCCTAACCAGTGGAATGCTGCATGTTGGGACCAAGGCGATGAGCATTGGCTGGATAAAAATTCTTGTAGTGAGGAAAATTTTTCTTCCCAATCGTACTCATGTGGAAGGAAAGTGGAAGTCCATAGGACAAAGTACAGTGACTTGTACTGCTTTGTTTGCAAAGCAGCAGTCATAGGTGCTTATCTTGATAGCCAAGTATGTCACCACCCAGGTTACACCCAGTCATGTCATGCATGATCACAGCACTGACGGGGTGCCTGTTCCTCCCAAGGAATTCCATCCAGATGTAAGCAGATGAGTGATGTTCTGATCCTTACACACCCTAAAAATAGTACCATGCTCCCAAAGAACACTGCTATGCTCCTGCTGTACAGGTTATTCATGTTACCCCCAGGACTATGTCATTTCACGGATGTCTACCAGCAGCTGTGAAGTCACTGTATCCACAGCTCTTCACCAAGCAGAGACATTTACATTCTGGCTGCAAGAGCTCAGGGCCTGACTGGCAAACACAATACATACTTATTTGGTAGACTGCATCAGAAAGCCCAGAAATCATCAGAGTTCATCATCCTTCAATTTGTGAACAAGAACTTGAAGGATTAGTGAATTTTTATCCTGAATGAAAACACCTTGTGGTGGGGCCCAAATGAAAATCTGTACCTCATCCATAGCTTTTTTTCCCCTAAATATACAGAGACAATATGAGATTCAATGTCAAGTGAACCTTTGAGGACCTCTGCTTTGCAGTAACATGAGGGGTAGAAAACCTGAAGAATGTGGCAACTCAGGCAAGCAAATGAGAGTGTTACTACCCTGACCTGATTGCCTAATCATTTGTAGAAGTCAGGAAATAATTTGTTTTATAGTTAAATGGCAACCACAGTGATCATGGGAAGAGATATTCTGCAAGTGGTATGTTGGTGCTGCAGAGAAGGCATCAGAAACTTCATCATTGCCTCCAGTTGTCCTCTCCATTTCTGAACTCAGAGCAGTCATTCAAGATCTGCATACAATGTAATCCTCCCAGTGGGCAACTGTCCTCATCCACCAGAGTTACCCTTGATTAAGTAGAGACTGGGTTCCCCTAGGGCTGCAATGGTGGGTACTGTTTAGGAGAAAGATGGTTTTGAACTGAAGCATTGTGTCCTGAAAAGCAAATCTCCAATTATGTAACACTTGTAATGTGAGGGGAAGGATTCGGGCCCTTATCAGGCCCTTACCTGGTCAGCTTCACCTCACAGTATGCGGGTGGTCCTGATGCAGTCAGTCTATCATGAGGATTCAGAGGGTCATCATTGGTGGCAACAGCACCCTGGTTATGCAGTAAGTGCACAGGAAACATTAAGGAGCTCTGTTAGGCTTGGGTCCTAACACAGGCCATGCTAGCATGGCTATGCATAGCATGGAGGAGTCAGAGCATGTTCTGAATCTAAACCGGTCTTACTCTAGTCATGAAATGGTAACATGGCACTTTGCATCATGCAAGTAGAGAATAAATTGAAGAAAAATATGGGACTTGCAAGAGCAGTGTTTTATGCTACTATTTTGATTTGTGCTGGTTCTGCTGGCAGAAATGTATAGTCATTCCTAATGTATCAATGAACATTCATTTAAGGTGGAGAAACTGGAAGGTTCAGAGTAATGGTAGAGAAAGAACTTCTCATGTAAGTTTCCAGTTACAGACTAGATCAGGTATCCAATGACTAAGTGCTGTCACTCTTAGATATCCAGTGTTTTATACAATAAACTACGGTATTCAATGCAGTTAAAGCAATTAGAGTGAGCATCTCAAACTTCTAGCTTCATGTGCAGTTTCAGTAGAAGCTCAAGAACTTTGAAAAAACACAGGCTTCAACTTTTTAGCCCATACAATTAATCCTCAACTTCTACTTCTTTCCCTATGAGGAAACGGTAAGTTGAGTAAGACCTGCAGGCCTGTCACCCTCACACCTTTTGTCACCACAGAATCGTATTTTTAAAATGCAGCATTGGTGCTAAAGAGATGATTCATAATGCTGCAGCATCGGTTAGCTGGTTTTAAAGAGATGTTAATGTCATCATTTTGATTTTCATTACTACACAAGACGAAGCTAAGGGCTGTAAATGCCTTATGCGTCAATAGCCTGATTTTATATTTTTAAAAGACCTGAACTACAGAGGATTTATCTCGGTATGCTCTAGTTCCAAATTCAATTTTTTAATGGAGACCTGAGCCTATATTTTGTATACAGGCAGTACAGAAAAAAATTTAAGCTATTACTATTTTTTTATTATGTACTTATTTGGGGCTTTTTTCCTAGATATGGCTCAGGTTATATGCACAAACCCTTGTCTCTGATCTTGCAATGTAAGGACTCAAACCTGTACTGCCTCTCTGCATATAAGTAAAAGAGAAAAGCAGTCCTGTTCAGTTCAAGGACAGATGAAGTGCTCAGACACTTGCTGTATTGTACTTCATCTATGTGACTGTTTGCAAACAAGCTATGTACTATACACAGATCTGAATAAAGAATGATGTGACAGGAGAGATTAATTTAAGGTAAAGACAGAAGAAGATACAAGCAATATACATACTTTATAAAAATACATGTGTATGGGACAAGATAACATCCTTGATAAAAAGAAAGTTATAATTACTATTGCTGAACCATACAGCTACTATACACACACACTTGACATAGAAAAGATAACTTACCAAGAGGATATAAAAGAATATGAAACCATTTATAAAAATTAAGAAATCTGTGGTTTCCTAATCAAACAATAAACATGCTTTTTCTTCTTGTTTACTGGAAATTTTAAAAACTAAGCATTCTGAGTAGGTCCAGCTTCAGTTTGGAAAATATTACACAGTATTTTCCACTCCTATTGAAGAAGGAAACGATTACAATCTGTACTTGGTTTCCAACTCTGGACAAAAAAAAGTGTCTATGAATATATATATATCTACACATATATGTGCATTCATTCCATGGTTGATCACATAGAGAAAACTTCTCAATTAAAGAGAGTTATTTCAATGGTTATCTTAAAGTTCAAGATGTGTATGTGAGTTTTCTATGGTTACTAAGTATACATAAGAAAGTACGCAAAACAAAGTATATTAAGCAAGCATTGTTTAGGATACAATCTGTGCATATTAAAAATAGCTAAAAGTATTAACAGAAATGCATCTGAATTCAGTCACCTTGGGTTCATGAGTTGTGCAGAAGTCACACATCTGAAATGTATTTCCTAAAAATAAACTCTGAAGCAGAGGATGCTGTGCTTATAGATGGACCGTTAGATACATAGATACATAGATAGACATGTATTTTTGATGAAGAATCAATACCTGACCTTATATAGCAATTATCAGCTTCAGTGAAAAAGTCAGTTTTTCCAGTTTTCAGTTGTGGTCTAAGGGTTTTCATCATATTACATTAATGAGAAATTTTGGGAAACATCTTTTTTTTTTTTTTCTTACTTTTTTTTTTTTTTTTTTCTGTGTCTGTATATTGCAGCGCACAAAAGAGTGCCAGTCTATAGCCAGGGCTTTTCAGCATCACTGCAGTGTGATGCAACCTCTTACCTGCACCAAACACTTGTCCTGTGACTACAACCATAAGCTCATGTTTTCAATTCTAGATTGAAACATCTGCTTAAATAACCTCTGACATGTAATACTGCACATAAAATAAGATTGTGAATTAATTCTTTAGATCTTTTTATAATAAATCAGAATAAATTGCTGGCTTCTTTGTAGCAGTTTATGAATACTATAGGTGACCTGAATACTAGGATATTTATTGCATGAACGTGTGGACTTAATATCCAGATGCGTGACAAATAAATAACCAGGAAATCCAAGAGATGAGCTGCTAAGATAAGAGATACGTTGCTCTCAAGTAAATAGCTAAAGATTTGCAATTAACATTCTGTGAACAGGTAATAGTAAGGTAGTAAGCCTTTAAATGTTTTGGTTTTATTGTTATTCTAGACAGGGCTATGTTTTAATAAGGCTGTATGATTTCTTGATTTGTCCCTTCTAAGAATCTCAACAGGAATGAAGTTTACAAAACCACAGAACAATCAAATAAACAGGACCAAAATAGATTGCTGTAGGCCAAAGCTTCATCTATAAGAGGATTCACTGTGAAGCTTCAACCCAGAGAGGTAAAAGCATTAATAGGAAGCAACCACTGATAATGTGCATAATCACCTGCAACTATGACAATACCATCCTTGAATATGTAATTGAAGACAAACGTTGCTGCTACTGTAGCAGAGGTAGGGAGTAGGGGGGAGCAGGCTGCTCTCTTGGGGTTGTGTGGGTGGGGCAAGAATTCATTTGCCTCTGCAGAGAAAAAGAGGCACTGTTGCTTTTGAGAAGGTATGATTGCTTTTTCTTTGGATATCTGAAGCCAGAGAGGGTACATAAAGGGCTCCAGAAAGCATGATACTGGTCTGTCTTGAAACACAAGGTTAAAAAAGGGATTAACTGTCAAAAGGGAGGGACTCATAATTTTTGCAGAGATTGCCTTCATCCCTTCCTATAACCAAAGAACAGTGCTCCAGGACCGCAGTGAACATTGCAGGTTCATGGCCAATCCCATGTGACTTGTAATTGTTGCTCTAGTACTTGCTAAAGCAATCCAAAAGCTTTTTTTTTTTTTTTTTGTCTGCTTGTGTGTGTGTCTAATGCATGAAGCAAACAAATACTTCACACTTGTCCACTGTCTTTCATCACATAGTTTTCTAAAGAGAAATACTGTCACATAGGGGAACAGTTTTACTGATTTTTAATCTAAAGAGTTAGGAAAATATCATAAAGTTTCTAACAACATCTCACTACCACCCAAAACCAAATGCTTTGGTGGGAAGACATCTTAAGGCCACATTGCAAATGTATGCTACTCAGAGAGCGTGTGGTTAAGTTAAAGCGATACCCTAACTTCACGGTTTATTGCAAAGAATGCTGCGAATCTGTGGGGTTCACCTCATTTGACTTCACATTTTGAAGATGCAAACATCTACTGCGTCTCACTAAAGTTGTAGAAAGGCAACATTGAGTCCAATGAGAAGCAAATCACTTACTACTCAGTTTCTGTAATTATACGGTTGGATTTCATGTAATAAAATCTGGCTGAATAGGAATGTGTTCCTTTGAAATTGGAGAGAGACCTGGTATTAGTGTAAAGCTTCATTAAATACCAGAAAATGCTGGGGGTGAGGGTAGAGGGCTGACATAGCTCAGAGTTATTGGAGTTATTTACAATGTCAACAATCTATACTGCTGTAATGTTTCCAATAAATACATTAGCAGGCAGTCACAACACAACAGTAGTTTTGAATGTGACATGTTGTAAAGAAGAGGATGCCAAACCTTACTCTTAGACAGACTTTCTAAATGACAGCCAAAAGAAAATTGTTTAAAGAGACATTTCTCTGCACAAAAGGCTAACACTGGAGAAAATGCAAATCTTGAGGATTTTAGAAAAGGAGTGTAAAATGCCTTCTGACCAACGTGAATTCTGACATCCTCTCAGAAGAGTGTCACAGCCAAACAGCTTACATCAGAAAAGAGGTGTATTGAAACTGCCAGTTCTAGCATCTAAATAACCTATGTTTCCCTGTAAACCCTTTACCTGAGAAAGTACAGCTGTGCATGGATTATTGAAATCTCAGAGAACTGTTGGTGCCTGATACATATCCCATGCTTACTGCAAATATTGTACTGGGCAACATGAGGCAGGGAGACTTGTGCTTCACACTCTAGGTTTGAATATCAAAGAGTGGCAGATCCAACAGAAAAGACTGCATAGCCTGGAGGAGCTAAAAGGTAACAATTCTTCACTCTCTCCCTTTTTTTAAACTAAATAATTTTGGGTCATCAGACTGTGCTAGTAAGAAGCAAACTCAAAGCAAACACATGGAGGTTTTTCTTCATACACTGCATACTTAAGCTGTAGAAGTTTCTGGCTATGGCGTTGTGACACCACATAGCTGCTACTGGACAGCACTGGAGACACTATGCTGAGCTTGGTCTGCATCCTGTCTCAAAAAATCAGTAGAGCATCTCCTGTTTTTATAATCCATTTTAATATTATGTGACTGTTTAAAATGTTCTCTTCTGCTATTTCAAGTAATGGGAGTACCTCATCTTTTTGACTTTAAAAGAGTAATTTCAAAATCAATAACCATTTAACTTTTGTCAAGGCAAAGGAAAAAAGCATACAGGAGTCTCTGCAATATTGTTGACTTTATTAATCTTTTTGCTCCATGGTAATTTAACAGATGCAATATCTTTAAATATGACAGTAGAGAAATGTTGTGGAAATGAACTTAATGGTTTTCATTTATGCTTTTCAAAAACTGCCTCTCCACCTTCATTACATGTCATTTTTTTCACTATCTCCTTTTTTTGACTTCAAGTACTACAATGCATACCTTCAAGCTCTGCCTGTTAATCTTTTTTTTTTTTTTTTTTTTTTTCTCATGTTTTTGCTTCCTTCTTTGGGGGTGGAGAGCAGATGCATGGCTTCTGCAACTATCAGGATGTACTCACAGTCTCCATGCTGAGTTAAAAGTTTTAATTTCCTCATCTCTAGCTTTCAGATCATGTTGATTAGCTTCTCCTTTTTAAAGTCCCCTTCTCCAAAATTTAGAGACAATTTTCAAAATAATGAGAATTTACATGAGTCTTCTGAAACGGATTTTGAGCTTAATTACAATGCAGTCAGTATTACTCAGAGTTTTAAAGATACCGTTATGTGGAACATCCCTCTGTGTTTTTTACAACAAATGTGAAAAGAATTTCAAATTGCTGTGAGTGAGTGAGGATTAGGATCGAAAAAACAATTATTCGTATTAACTAGAAATTCCATCTCTGTCTAGCTTAGGCATTTAAGCAGATCAGAAATTGAAATAACCCCCCTACTTCTGTTCTGCTAGATAGTACAGCTTCCTTTCCTCTCTGAATGGTGTTCACTCATTTTCCTTTTCCTCATTAGAAAACAAGTAATATAACATATTTAAAATTGTTTCTCTTCTAGAGCCATAGAGATTTTTAACAAACTTTTGAAAGTGCTGCTTTCAGAAGGGACAGTAGGTGTACTGTAATCAAAGAAAAAATGTACTTTTAGTGGAGAAATGACTACTAACTGAAAGAGGACTTAAGTTTAGTCACAGAAATAAATTTTCATGTAAAGATGTAACTCTAGGATCAGTGACACATCTTCATCACTTACATTCACTCTTTCAAGAAACGATCCACTTCCTGACAGAGCTGTACCACTTCCGTTAAAAGAATTATTAGGCATGGATGCTTAGCATAACTTCTCCTTTCATGGTATGACATTAAGCGGTTTTAGAGAGATAAAACTGTTGGCTGGAGCAGTTGCATGCAAAAATGCTTAAAACAGCATATTTATCTACCCTATTTACTTTTTGACAATTATTGAGCACAAAGGGTTCAAATGCAGATTTAAAAGGAAAATAAATGGTTAAATACAGATAATATATGTAAACGAGGAATTAGTACCTTTACTGCATTAAGATTCTACCAAAGACCGTTTCATGTTCTGAATGTTCTTCCTGGGGAATCCTTGCTTAAATTAATTTCTTGTTTTCCAAAATTGGATCTTCTTTTTCCCTCGCTGTGCAAATGTTCTCTTTGATTATGGGGAACACTTTGTATCATCCAGCTTTCCAACATTTGTACTTTGAAAATAGCATCTATTTTTGTAACAATTCAATGACCATAAGAAAGTGCTACATGTCTTCAACCTTAGCACCATATAAACTACCTTTTTCATATGCAGCTCCTCTTCAGAGGGAAAGTAAATCAAGTATGTCAATGGTGTAAAGCAGTGACACCCTGGAAGTATGCAGCTACAGCACTCATTTTCTTCTTTCTTTCTGTCTCATTTCCTCTCAGAAGTCTGTATATTGAGCATTTCAATTTCATTTTCACCTCAGCTCTCAAACCATCTTGGCACACCAGCTCTTTTCGAACCCAAAAGGAAATGTGATACTTTTTCTTAAATGTTCAGCGATATCTTTCCATGTGGGTATTTCCCACAGCATTTTTTCCTGTCTCTCTTTGCAATTAGGAATGGCAAGTAAATCTACATATTTCTGAACAGTTGTGTTGTGGGGTAGGTAAGGGACATCTATCTTTAGAACTCTGTTACTCCATGTTCCCAAACTTGCAGCACATGCTCAGCTCAAACATTGAACTGTTGGCTGACTGACCTGTCAGGCTGCTCTTATTGTACACACGAGTATCAGCATGACTCAAAAATACCATGTACAAAATAGACATCTGCATTATAGAGGGCAAGTGGCTCCTCACTACCCAATAGTCTTTAATTGTTTTTATTTCTTTTTGTTTTAACACTGGAGAGGTAATTTGTTGAATGCTCAACCATGCCAAATAGTATTTCTTTTTGTTCAGTGTTATTGCACACACCTAAAGTATTATTTAAAATGCAAATAACATTTTCAGTCAGTTATACTGCACTCTGAACTGTTCTTCCAAAAGCACAGTTTACATAGCAAGGGTGGTTTTACTTCTCCAAACTATAAAGCAATCTGTTACAGACCATTCTAGGCTCCCTGTGGGTCTATAGCCCATGATTGTTTCTGTACTTTTCACATGCCTTCTTTGGCTGCAGGCTCAAGCCAATTACCTCCCTCATCTGACTCTGTGACTCTCTCAGTTAGTTATTTAAACAGGACAAATGCAGAATCTGAGTGCTTGTGCACAACTATCCACGTTCCTGACTGCTGGTGTACTTTTGGGTATGGTAGGGCCCCTCTCAGACAATGTCCTTGTAGAAACTGGGGGCCAGCATGGCTCAGTAACTGTTTACAATCTCGCTAAATCCAAGAGGCAGTATGGAAAAGGCCACCCTGTTTTGAAAAGTAAAGAATTTAGTTGTATGCTTGCAAATTATGCCATGTTGTCACCTGCCCTGACACCTAGAGAATGAATCTTGCTTTGTTTTATTTACTGCTACAGATATAGCCTGTATATTTCCAACTACCTGTAAATCCTATCTACCCTTAACAGTGACAAAACTCTGCCCTTTTACAAATGACCACAAGGCCAGAAACCAGTACAGTGATAATGATTCAAAGACAAAAGTGATGAAGTTAATGAAACCAGCCTGCTATGCCTGGACCATTCCACTGAAAGCAGGTCCACACTTAAATCAAGCACAGGACTGAGTTTTATTCCCCATTGCACCTAAAAGTTTAATTGAAATGAAATCTTGAACATAGTCTTGTACTGACGGAATAGACAGGAGGTTTAGGATTTCAGTCCCTTTGTCATAATGTCATAATGTATGTCAAAAGGTGGGATTATTTTCAAGCATTCAGTAGGACTGTTTTGCTGTTTCTGGGTATGACGAGAGAACCTTACTGCTACAATATTTTAATTCTGGAGATAATGTTATGTAAAAATCTTAATTTTTTAGATGAAATAACCATATTGTTCCTTTACTTTTGCCAAAGTGCAAGCAAATCAGAAGGTCTCTCAGTGACAACAATGAACTTTCAGCTCATGCAATATGACTTTCCAAGCCCAGTCACAACTGAATTTAAATATACAGAGTAATCACTGTCTTGCTATATGCATAGTCTGCAGATACAATAATGTATCACTAACCTTGGTTAGATTTTTGGGGGTTTTCACCTCATTCTTTAAGGTTGTTAAATCCTTTAACCTGAAATTTAAAAGGAGAAAAGAGATTTCAGCCCAAGGCAAATAAGCAGATAAAGTCTGTCAAGCTATGACCATCTGAAACCAAGACTATTTGCAACTGTTGGATTCATTGCCAGCTCCACTCACACTAAGTGCTAGTAAAGAACAGAACAGAGTCAAATTTCAGTTACTCTCTTCTGAGGCTGCCAGGGACAGTTAGTCCAAAGTGCCGGCTAGCAGAGCCCCTGTATGACATTGTGCTACTCTCTTTACGATCTAACATCTAGGACAAAGGATAACCAGAAGCTGTTGCAACTTCTAGAGAAGTAAAGCTCATGCTCCTGCTAGGTGTGGAAAGGAGCCACGAGTTATAAAGATGCAAAAATTTAACAATTAACTTTATCTGTTTATTTTGTATTTTCATTGTTTTCCCTTTTGAAAGGGAACCGCTAATGTAACATTTACTATCGCTGCAACCGAGACACTGCAATGTCACTTCTAACACCAAGTGACAAAAGTTAGTCAGTTAGTGCTTTTTCAGTTTGAAAACACCTTCTGTAATCAAACTTTCTATATTTAATCTTGATAAAATACTGTCAGGAAGGCAGTAACTGAATGGACAATTCCAGTTAAGTTAGGTGTGTACCACATGCTATGGGCCGATACCGCAGCAGTACTCCTGCAGTGTTTTGTAGAGAACATCCTCAAAAAGTTCTACCAGGAATACCATAAAAGAAACCCCTCGGGTATTTTAACCTCTGAAAACAAACAAAACTAAACTGAACTTAAAATAAGATGTGGTATTTAAGTAATACTATAGTAGAAAGCTCCTATGAACTTTAAATAGTTCAATCTCTCCTCCGGAAATGGTAGAAACATGGGTATGTACGTACAAATACTCAAGTACTATGTATATGTATGCAAACACACGCGAAGAAAAACACAATACTGGAATGTGAATAAAGGCTGAGCAGAAGACATTTTATTTCACTGATGTCCAGCGTACCAGAATGAGGCTCTGCATGTGCACGCTGCTCCTGTGTATGACACGACATTCAGAAGAAACAAGCTGGGAATTACAGTGATAAGAACTGGGAAGAAAAGTAATTTGTGTAATCTGACAGAGGATGGGGGAAGCCGCAGGCTGCTGTGGGTGTACCCGCCTGCTTATCCATCGCAGCAGACCGAGAGGCTTAAGTGAGATCGAGAGGCCTGATATCACCCCAAACACCTCTCCTTCTAGGTGTTTGTGGTGTCCTCCAAGGTTACCTGGTCCAACCGCCCCCTGCCCCCATGTCACCCACCGAACCATGTCCCCAAGCACCACGTCCGACCTTTCCTTGAACACCCCCAGGGACGGTGACTCCACCGCCTCCCTGGGCACCCCGTCCCAACGCCTGACTGCTCTTTCTGAGGAGAAATCTCTCCTCATTCCCAACCTGAACCTGAGGCCATCCCCTCCGGCCCTACCACTGAAGAAGCCGACCCCAGCTCCCCACAACCCCCCGGTCCCGTGAGGGAGCCCCCACCCGGCACCGCCCGGGGCCGTTTTTACCTTCCAGCACCTCCCACCTCCTGCGCACCCCACGGCCCTCCCCAGCCCACCCCCGACCCCGGGGGAAGGTCCCGGCAGCGCCTTGGAGCCTCCCGCCCCCATCTTGTGGGGCCGCCGAGCCGCGCTGTGCCCCCCCCTCACAGCCCCTCCACCCGCCTCCATGGAAGCGATGCCGCCCGGCTCCCCCCCCCGCTGCCCCTGCGAGTGGGAAGGCCCACGGCCGTCCCCCCCCCCCCCCCGCCCACCAGTCCGATGGAACAGGCCCGAGGGCGGGGCGCCACCGCCCGCTCCCTGGGATGATTGACAGCCCCAGCGGCCAATCGGCTCCTTCTCTTGTCCCCTAGGCAACGCAGCGCCCGCCCCCAGGAGAGGCGGGCGGGAATGTTTACAAACAAGCTCAGGGAGTAGCGGGGTGGGGAGGGGGGAGCGGGGGGCGGGGCCAACGATTGGCGCAGCCGCCGGGCCAATGAGGGAAGGCGGCGCGGGGCGGAAGGGCGGGGGGCGGTGCTCGGAGCGCTCGCTGCCCAATCGCCGCTGGGGGCCGCGGGCGCGCGGGCCAATCAGCGCTCGGCGGGCAGGGAGGGGGCGCAGCGAGGAGCGGGGGCTGCCCTCCCTCTGCCTTCGGCTGGGCTCGGCTGGGCTCGGCCGGGCTCGGCGCCGCGCCGCGGGGCGGGGAGCGCGGCCGGAGCGAGGGGGAGGGGAGCCGCAAGGACATGGGCCGGCCCTGAGGGCCGGGGGAGGGCAGCCTACGTGTGTGTGTGTGTGTGTGAGTGTGTGAGTGTGTGTGAGGGAGCGCCTACACGGCCCCCGCTCCCCGCTCCTCGCCGGCTGCATTTCACCCAGCTCCTATGGCCCCGGCTCGCCGCCAAGTGAAAAAATAAATAAAGAATAAAGCAAAAAAAAAAAACATAAAATAAATAAAATAAAATAAAAATCCCCGCCCGGGGCCGGACCATGGAGGGACCCTCGGGCCCGGCGGAGGACGGCGCCCGGCCGCTGCTCACCGTCAGGCACGAGCTGCGCAACGGTGAGTGGGGGGGGGGGGGTGAGGGGGGCGTGAAATGGCGGCCGGGGGCGCTGAGGGGAGCGGCCGGGCCCGGGGGGTGAGGAGGAGGAGGAGGGAGGAGGAAGGGGCCGGGAGAGTTGTGCGGGACCGGGGGGGGCAGCCCCGGGGGGATGGAGGGAGGAGAGGGGGGAAGGAGCGCTGGGGGGGGCGCTTCGGCCGCTGGGTGTGTGTGGGGGGTGCGAGCCCCGTCCCGCTGCGCTGCGCTGTGCTGTGGGGTCAGGCTCCGGGTGCCTGGAGCAGTCCCTCGGACTTCTGTGGCTCTGCCGGTGTGGGTGGGGGGCTGGTTGTCGCGGTCCTAAATTCCGCAGCTCTCTGTGGCAGCTTGCTGTGACAGCTCGCCTCTTTCTCGCAACTGTGCCAGCCCGCAGCCGCCCGGCTACCGGGCTGCTCGGCCCCCGCCGCCCGCTTTGCCTCCGTCCTGCCCCGAGACCCTCCGGAGCCGCCGACCACCCCTTGGACCTCTCGGAAATGCTGCTGTGTTATGGAAGAGCCTGATATATTTTTAATAGGGGCTCTGTGCTTCTCTGAAGTTTCCAGGCAACTTGACTGCTGCAGTAGATCTAGAACTTACTGTAAATTCACAAGTGCACGTAGCGTGCAGTCAGGTTGTATGTTCTTTCTCTTCATTATCAGTGGAGGTGCTATTAATCATGACCTTCATTCCTTTTCTCTCCCCTTCTTTTTCTCTTGTCTCCATTATTAAGTAAAAGTAACTGTAGGGTGATGTTCACCTTAAAAGTTTGAGACAAGCACCCCTGGGTTAACGTGGCTGGCTTGCTTTACTGGGCCACTCGGGAATGCAGATGCTGTTGCTGAGGTCTTTTTGATAATGCTCCGCTTTCAGTCACTCAGGTCTAGGGGCTCTGTAGATGTACCCCAGTGGAGCATAGCTATCACTGCAGCCTGGGAGGGGAAAAAAAGGCTCTCTTCCTGATAGCTACGCAGAAACCAAAGAGGCAGTAGTTTCCTTCTTTCAAGAATAATAGTAATAAAAAAAGAACTGGTGCAATGCATATTTGTCTTGTTAGGTATTGCTAGATTTCAGTTTGCGGGAAATTTGTAGGGGAAAGGATACACTACACATTTACTCCATAGAAATCTAGACATAGCTAGATAACTATTTTCTAGAAGTTGAGGCAGCACATATCCCTGCAGGATAGCTGTGTAAAGATAGTTTGGAGATAAACACATTCACTGAGGCTAGACAAAGAGCTGTCTAACAGCATAATACACACGTGTTTTGGTCCTGATCTTTAAGCTTTATAGATTCAGGAAGTACTGATACTTGATTTTAATTAAAAAAAAATAAAAATAATCTTGGGCTTGTTGGTCTCTTTTCAAGCTTCTGAAATTCCTTTAGTAGGATTCAGTCGCTTCTTCCCTCCGCATTTTCTTCTCCTTATTAAGTATTTAGAAAACTCTGCTTCTGAAAAATGCTTTCTAGCAATGGCTTGTCTATTTCTGGAACATTAGGGTGGAGGAGGGAGCTGCTCTGTCATGTACTCCTGGGAGACTCCTACTTCTGAAGGTGTCAATAGTGTCATCACTATGCAAGGCATATCAAGATATTGTCTCTGAACTTGTCTCTACACAAAGCACGGAGATGGGATAATTGGAAGAGAAAAGTTGCCATCAGCTTTCTTTTGTGTAGAAATAGGCAATTAGTAATCTCTAGGATACTTTGGATGCTTTTCGTATTTTTTTTTTTTTTTTTGTACTGGGTCTGGCTGTGTGGGTGCTTCACTGCTGGCTGGGGTCAACCCACCCCAGTTTTAAAACGTGCAGCACAATTATTTTCACTTCATTTTGAGAAAGAGGGTGACGGTATGCCTAACAGGAATTGTAGCCGTAGGATCCTTGTTGCTTTAAAATACTGAGGTTGTACGCCATGAATATTCTTTTAATGTGTGATTTGTTTAGATTCCAGAGTTCCCCTCCTCTGTGTGTTTTCTTTGATGTTGCTAGCTCTGTGACTAATTGAATGATTTACGGAGTTGCATATCGAAACTAGCTGTCAGTTGGCAGATGAAAAAGAGGTCAGTCCTCGCAGCGCTTTGGAAGAATGTACTATTGTGGTAGAAATAGTGGCTTCTTTGAGAAGGGAGTGTCTCATTTTCATGTTGTGGAAGTTGTTGCTTGAACCTCTTGATAACAGAAAGTCATTCAAAGCATGAAGAATTAGCTATTCAAATCAGCTAAGTGCAGGTGAACCTGTAGTTATGCTTTGTAATTACTCGAGTCTTGGAATTGCTTTAAAACCATGAAGCTGGTTAGAGACAGGCATCGACTGCAGTCAAGTGAGTAAGTGAGCACACTATAAAACTCAGATTTCAGATGAAAAGAGTATTTTCAAGAACAAAACAGATGATTGCTGTTACCTTCAAGCCAGTATTGCAGCATATGAAAATGCACAGCTACAGCATATGTAGTGTTATTTCTACGCAGCACTCAGCTGCTTGTTAACCCTATCATACCGTGGTTTGACATCTTTTAAACTTTGGCTTTGAAATTAAAATCCTGTCTTTGATAGGATCTGTCTTATTTTTGGGTCTATATCCCACGTTCTTATGGCACTGGAAGTCATTCTGTATTGCTTGACCAAAAAGCAAGTGCTGAAAAAACATCAGTTCACAGGCGTGTAGTTCGGTTCTGTGATAGGGAAGGAGCTGTGGTGCACAACACTTGAGTGCCTCTGTGAGATGCCATGTACTTTGCCAGGTTGCAATGATTGGGTACTGATCTGTGTATGTATTTCTTATTTTAATGATGCAAAGAATCAGATTTTCCTCGTACTGGTGGACAAGCTGCGTACATGCATTTGCTTCAGTGATCGTTCCTTTGGTCGGTTGTTTTGCTGATTAGACACAGCAGTGACTTTTAGAACACATTTCAATTAATAGTGATTTTTTTTCCTAATGTATTTAGCAACTGATTTACTTTTTTTTTTTTTTAAATCTTCAGAAGAGATTGTCACACAAAACCTTTTTTTCTTCAGTAGAAACTCACAACTCAGCCACTTCAGAATAGCCACCAGCTCCTTTTGCTTATACTGGGAAGGAAGTGAGCTTGTGGGGAAAGTGGAATCCCCGTCTCTTGTCAGGAAGTCAAAGAAGAAACATAACAAAGATCAAATGATAGGAACTGGTGACTGTCTTTGACTGTTACTGAAGCTTTCCAGTGAAAATAGTAAGAAAATGAGAATTTCAGGATGATCTGTTTCTTGTATCTCATAAGGGAAAAGGTTGTATTCTTGAAGGCTAACCTCAGAGTTGCTACAGCTTCGCAGCTGTTTTGGAGACCTAAGAAGAGATGTATTATTTACAGTGGAAAAAATACTATAATTGCCTTTTTACATTTTCTGTTCCCTGGTTGTGCCAAGGAAGTGCACAATGACAAACGTTAAACCTATTAGAGAACAATTTATATGTGATGGGGAAGGATATGGGCAGAGGAAAGAGCTGTGATGTGGGAAAGTGAGAAGAAAATGAACTGCTAACAGTGAGGTGTTTTTTTTTTTTTTCTACTTCTGTTTGCTTCTTTCATAGTTCTTGATTTTGGCGGGGAGGTGGTGGGGAGGGAAGGATTAAAGGATCCTGAAGCTTCAGGATCCTTTATGTGAGTAGCAGGAAGGCTGCCCATCTTGCAGTGAGTGTGTTCACTTCCAGCATCACCCAGTGAGAGGCAAGAATGAGAAAACTGGGATTTTTTGGGGGCACTTTGTCTGCCTGTGCTGTATGGCATGAGAAGAGGCATGTGAAGCCCCGAAGTCAGCACAGCGGTGTGCTGCGGCACTGCAGTTTGGAGCAGCAGGGTAATTTGGAACTTCCACGTGAGCCAAGCAGCCTCATTTATAATTGCATGTGGAACTATGAAAGGCTTAAGATAACTCATGGGCTGTTTGAAGGGTTTAGTATTACAAATTCTTAGTTACCCTTTATTGAGTGAGAACTTAAACTGGAATAGATTTATTTCTAAACTGTAAGATAGCTTGTTGTTTGTTCATATTGCATCCCAAGGCCTTGTGGAGATTCCTGTGCCTAAAAAAGATGATGAAATCATGAGTTAAATAGAGAATTCGGCCTCTGCGATGGAGCTACACCTGGCACCTCTACTGTATTCTTTGTTTTTACTTTTAGAAGGAAACATGTTTATGAAAGTTTAAAGATTCTTACACAAAGTATCATTTAAAAAGTAACAGTTTTTGTATCTGACTGTACTAATTCTGTGTTTCGTTCAGATATTGGGAGATATTAATAGTTGAATATTTCATAGCTCAGACGTTTTTAACTTTTCTCTTTTAATCACTGAGATATATGAGCTCTGGTATTGCTTTTGAGTGAGTTTTTGAATATTCCTTAATACTACTTAAATCTCTGGATTTTACACTTTCAAAATTGGTGCTTTTTGTAGTCCAGGAATCTCCTGTTATTTATCTTCTGGTAACTTAATCAGCTTTGATTATGAATGAGCAGAGCGATTATCGATCTTTTTTTTTTTTTTTTTTTTTTTTTTTTTTTTTTTTTTCAGGCTTTGGAATCTAATAAGCCTGGCTGAATTGATCTATAAAAAGGTCTGCTACCTTTAAGCTCTCCTTGCTTAGAATAGCGATATTCTGTGAAGTGTCTCATCTAGGTGAGGACTACCAGTCAGCCTGCTGTTCAGACTTGTTCCAAAGTATTTTAAATATGTTGGTTTAAAAGCTCATGCTGGATTCCACAAAAGATTTGGGAACCTTATATGGCACTTCAGTGCATTTTAGGCTCTTATTTAAGACACAATTCAGAAAACACTTGCCAGAGTTGCTTAAACCTATGTGAGAGCCTGGGTGTCTGAGGGTGTGATCTGTAGCTCTGTTATTGACATAAATATTTCTGTTGGATCTCCTTCGTTGCTTGGCATCATTTGTCAATATCTTCTGGTAAATGTTCTTTTTTTGCACTATTGTACAATCCTAATGATGA